ATATATTAAAAAAATGAAATTATTATTATTATTTTTAATGTTAAAAGCTTTGTTTGGAAGGATAACATTTCAAAAAACAATATTTTCTTATTTTAAATGTCTTACTAAACTAAAATTTATATATACTAATTAATTATTTTAAGAATTACTTTGATTCAATTGTGTTTTACTTTACAACGTAGAGAAGAAACAAATGAGAAAACAAAATAATAATAAAATATATATTTCCAAACAGTTGTACAACTAAAGAACAAATTTTKTTAACAAAAAATAGTTTTAAAGAAAATGATATTATGGAACCCGTTTTCTTTCCAACAACCATTTTTCGATTTTCATTCTATTTCCAATTCTTTCTACAAATAAAGAACAGTATTTGAGACATTATGGAGTGATTTGAGGTAATGTTCACATTTCTTGATCATTTGTATTTCTTAATTCTAATTTTTTTAGAAATGTATAGTAATTATTCATTATTCGTGTTTCTCATTTTTAAGTACACAAATTTTGAAAACAAGCACCAACTAATTTTTATGTTTTTAAAAAGCATTATTTTATTACTTTTTTACTTTAAAAATGTAAAATAAAATTTTCTAAAATTAAATATGACAAAATAATTTTGATCTATTTTATTTAAAAACTAAATTTTAGGGGAAAAAAATTAGTTTTTTAATTTAAAATTTGTCAAAATAGTTCTATTTTTTCACAATAAAAAAGCTGTATCAATTATCAAATATAGTTTTTTTTTTCTCTAAAGCAGAAGAAATAACAAATAACAAATAGAAAACAGAAATATTAGCACATTAGCCCTAATTATTTTGATAGCAATCTTTTGTTTAGTTATTTAAAATAACAATTTGGTTACCCTTTTTATATTTCTAAAATGTTTGAAATCTTGCGTAAATAAAAATTAAAGTGTTGTTGTTGATAATAATTTTGCACTTAACCTTCTATTTTTTTTTTTTAAATTCTCTTGATGTTTTATTTTCATTCAGATATAGAGATATTAAATAAAAAAAACAAAACTATATTCTTATATAACTTGAAATATCTCGGAGTTGCTTGAGAGTTAAAAAGAAATTAAAACATGATTTGGGTAATATTTATAAGTTAATTTAAAGTTTTCTTTTGTAATTATTATCTTTTAGGACATAGTAAATCTCAATAAATTCTATCATCAAGGAGTAATTCAAAAACTTGTCATTTCTAATCTATAAATTTTGCATAAAAGTTATTCTAATCCAATAATCATTTTTATTAACAAAAAAAAAACCTTGAGCGACAAAAACATTTACCAAGTACTACTTATTATTTAACATAATTTAATTTTTTTCTCAACTTAATGTATTAAATATTTATTTATATCTAAACATCGTCTAATCTATCAAGTAACCAGGTAAAATTTTTCGAAAAAAAGAAAAAAAAAAGTAACTAGACAAAGTAAATATCTATGTCATGATCATGCTAATAGATGACAATAGAATTTAAACATATATTTAATATTCATAGTATATAGGATTATAACACAGCTCAAAATCAAATGGTATATTCAATTATTGATTTTTGTTATCGGAGTATAACYCAATCAATTAAGACTTATTATAACTTCGACCAAAAGGTTAGAGTATTGAATCCTCGTTCATGGAACTAAATAATGATAATATAATTCAACAAATAGAAGACATGTCCAGAATTGGAAGATATAAAAAAAAAAAAAAGAGTAGAAGAAGAAGAAAACTTACCTGAAGTCGGAGAACTAATTTCATACGATAGAATCATCTCCAAAAGATCAAAAATAGGACTCCGACGACTGAAGGCGGAGTGCCTTTCTATAACCTCTTTCTTTTGTATGCTTCTCATATACCTCTTTAATGAAATGATTGGAGTTATCTCCCGATAAAAAAATAGCCTCTGCAACAATAACAGACAAAATCACAAGACACAGAGAGAAAGAGAGGCAGTTCTTTGGAATAATTATATTCTGTTGTATACATATAACAAAAGGATAAAAGTGGGAACAATACATGAGACTTGTCTTTCCTCTAAATTGCAAAAAAGCATATTCCCAAATCCCATCATTTTGGTAAAGTAAAAAGTAAGAGAAATCAAAACCCAACCATGTTCAAACTTCAAAAGCGTTTTCAAACTTGGTTTTTAGATCAGGATATAATTAAAGTTGATTACTTACTTACTTGATGAATAATAAATATAATTAAAGATGATCATTGAATTGAAGATTATACAAGTGTTTGATTTGGGCAACAATTGAATGGCTACATTGAATTCAAGATTGTGGGCGGTGCATAATCATGCCTCATTTTCTATTGTGCCCTTTGCTTTTTTCTGAACAAGAACCAAATTTTCGTAATTTCTAATTAATATAATACATGTCCAAATTTCGAGAAATCTCTGCCTCATTTTCAAAATTGAAAATTTTATTAAAAGAACTCAAGCATATATTTTAGCCCTTTCTGCAATCTCCTCGAAGAACAGGATCAGATCTCATCTGGAAACCGTAAAAGTAGAAAATTTTGAAAATTTGGGAACCAGCCTTCAAATCTGCCTGCTCCCGAGCTAGGGCAAAACCCAGAAATATGCCCATAATTTCAGCTGGAAGAGGAAGAAAAGAAACCCTAATAATGGCTGAAGAGGAAGACAATTCAAAAAGCAAAAGATGCCATTCTTGTATAGTACACCAGGACAAGGAAAAACACAGACACAGATTATTTACTCTTTTTTCTTTAATCTTTAATCTTTTGGAGTTGGTGAAAAAAAAAAGTTTCTAGTTATTTATTTCCAATAGATGCTCTGCCCTCTTGAAATGGAACTGCCCCTAAATTAAACAAAATAAAAAGTCTTCCATTTTTTAGGAGCCACTTCCATTATTTCACTTTTTTTTTTTGTTGTTAAACTATATTTATCTCTAAATGTTCAATTAGGGTTTTTCTTTTTTGTTTTCTGAGATCGGAATTCGAATTTGCCTTTAGGCAAGAGAATAGTCCAACCTTCGACTTTATTGGACTAAGATTCCTAATGGGAGTTCAAATTACTAAAGTGTTAAAAAGACTTTTTTTTTTTTTTTTACTGTGAGTGTCCTTTATAACAAAAATCTTAAAGACTCTTAACTCAATTAAAAAATAATACTTTGACTAAAAAYCACTATTATTTTGGGACCGACTTTTCTTTTTCTCCCATGTTTTCTCTTTTTAATCTCTTTATTAAATATATACATTTCATATAATAGTAGTTCAAATTTCAAATTTTCTCATCTATGCTAAGATTTTGAAAATATAAACTTATATAGTTCTTTTTTTTAATATATTTTTATTTAACTTTAATAATTTTCGGTGGAATCTTCTTTTCTTTTTTTTTTCAATTTTTGGCTTATTGATTGATAAGGACAAAAGCAATTTAATACTTTTTTTTGATATCCTGTGTTCAAAGAAAACTTATCATCTTCTATTAAAGCAAAGAAGACARAAATTTTTAAAATACAAAGTTATAGAAACCAAAAACCAAAAACAATTTCTTCTTTTTTTTTTCTAGTAAACCAAGAAACATATTTCAAATATGTTATCCAAATAAACTCTTATAACATATGTTAATGATGATGAAATGACTGAAAGAAAAGCATATTAAACAAGAACAATAAAATTTGGGGGTGGAATCATTGAGTTAAAATGTTACAAAATAATGATATTATCAACTTTTGTGATCCAATTCAATGTATCTTAAAGGTCAAGTGGATTATTTGATTGAAGATATAAAGTATATATTTTTTGCAATAATGCACAAAGGAGAAAACATGGGAGATTGGGATCAGGTGCCACAATTCTCCTATCCCTACTCATATATTTTCTTTAATTTACTTAGTTTTCACTTTTTTTTTCAAAAAAAAAATATATATATATATATATATATATATATATATATATATATAGATGAAATTTTAACCCCTTTTTTAATAAAACTTTGAGAGCTAATTTCTAGTTTTAAAAATATTTCTTAAGTTGATTAAAAATTATAGAAAACTGGTATTGATGAAGATAAACATGGATTTTGAAGGACCAGATTAAATAAATCTCAACTCGCTTTGTTTCCATTTTTAAGAACCAAAAATTTGACAATAATAGGTACATCTTCTTTCAATTTATCAAATTAAATTCTAAAGTTGATTTTAAGTAAAAATTTCCTACTCACTAATTTTAATAAAAATCAACCCTCGCACAAAACTAAGTTGTACCCAACACACGAAGTCGACCACCGAATAAATCTCTCAAAGAAGTTAAGTTTCAACAAAAATTCAACTCAAGTCTTAGAAAGTATATATGAATTATATTTCATATCAAATATATATTTTATAATCTAATCAATATACCAAACACTTCGATTTTACATATCTTCGTATAAAAGTTAAAATTGATACATCATATCAAATATCATGCAAAAGTACGCCGCCTTCCTTCTGTATTATCTTTTTACCATTTCATAAAAAAGTGCGTGAGAAACATACATACAAAAAGAGACGCCTTCATTATATTATCACGTCAATTTGTATGTAGCTCAATGATTAAAGATATTAGTTAAGATTTAAATTGAGGAACGAGCAATTGCATATAATGAAAGGGTAGACGAAGGAAGAAGAGAACTCACAGTTTCCTCTCATCTATAAGTATATCCTTGGGAAAAGGTAGCTAGAGAGTAGAGACTGTAAAAGGGCTTTTAGCCAACAGTGTTTGCTTAGTCCTAAATTTGTGGTTCCAATAATAGCTAACTGAGACCACATACCACAAAAATTAAAGGAATTGAAGGAAAAATAAAAGGTAAAGGAGCATAATCTATGAATCCAACAACCAAAATCATTGAAAAATAACACAGAACAGATGCTTGTACTATAATATACTTAATACTTGAATCTAATTAGAAAATTGGAAAGAAAAAAAAAAGGAACCTGGATTTGGGAAAGCTTCAGCAGCTATGGAGGGTTGATTAGTGAAATTACCAAACGCTCCCATTCCATTCCAAAAGCTTTGGAGATCAGAGATGAGAGGGATCAAGAGGGGAAGAATAGGGTATTTGAGAAATGGGGTTTTGGTGGTACGCCAAAAAGCCGTCTCTTGGAGGAGCGAAGCAGCTTTATCGAGTTTAAAGGGGAACGAGCGGACTTTTTCATAAGAAAGAGACATGAAAGTTTAATTTTGAAGAGAATTCTCATGCGAGAGAAGAGGGAGAGATCAGTGGAAAAGAAGTAAGAAGGGAAATTTAAAGGGAAGGAAAAAAGGAGCAAAAGACTGAGGAAAACTAAAGCCTTTTGAAAATGGCACTGTAAAAACATGAAGAGAGAGAGAGAGAGAGAGAGAGAGAGAGAGAATCTGAAATTGATGGGTTTGCGTGATTTAGTTTCTCAAATTAGGTGAAGTTCTTGGCTTTACTTTGCATGGACCTTCTACCCATGGGACCAACCCTTCAAACATGCACATAAATTCATCCAAAATAAAATCAAAATGAGTGCATTGAGGTACCTCAAGTTTAAGATTTGGCATTTGAATTCCGCACTACAAGAGTGAGTTTCAAGCGAGTATAATGGGAATAGTGCGTTTCGAGTGAGTATAATGTTCCATTTCAACATATTTTGTGCACGCTCACATGCTTTTATATATTGATTTGAATTTTGAATTTGATACTTGTTTATTATTAAATCGTGCCTCTTTGGAGAGTACTTAGGTACTTTTTAAGTATTTTTAATTATATGATTTTCAAATTCGTTTTGAATATACTAAGAAAGGTATGAAAGCGTCTTATCTATTTACAAAATAATCTCAAACTCAATTAATATTTTGAGATCAACTAATAATAATAAAAATAATAATAATTTGCATGATCTAAACTTTTAATTTCAAAAAATTGTGTCTTAGACTTTGTAAAAGCGTGCAATTTTGAGACTTTTGTTTGAATCATTATTTTCAGAAGAAAGAAAAATCTCATATATTCTCAATGGATAACAAATAATATTGTCCATTTTAAAATTGATTGGATTTCATATAGAGAGACAACACAATATAGTTGGATTATTATTAACTTAATTCAACTCAACTAGTTAATGCATTTATTTTCTATTAAAATGTCTTAAATTTGAATCTCTATCTCAATTGATATTGTTGTATTGAAAAAAATTTAGATTTTTGTTGAAGTTAGTTTCGAGAAAACTTGTGTAACCATCTATTTTACGAATTTATTTGCTAGACTGCAGTAATTTGGTAGAGATTTTTATCGAAATTTCTATAAATTAGTGGGGTTGAAAGTAACCATAAAAGAAAAAGTGCAACACTTTTCAAATCAATGGTTAGGATATAATTAAAAGTTTAAGATAAAAATAAAATAATTAACCATTATATATATATATATATATATATATATTTTTTTTTTTCTTCTGTTAAATTACCTTACATTTTGAAGGTTACATCTATAAGTTATTAAACTTTAAATTTTATATCTAACAAATCTTTTAACTTTCAATATTGTATCGATTAGATCTCTCAATTACCTAAATATTTTATTTAATCAATATTTTCAAAATTCATGGACATGTTAAAATATTGAATTTTACGTCTAATGTAAACTCCACGTAATATCTAATGGGACTATATAGGTCGAGAAAAAATCTAATATTACAAAAATATCATATTATCTTTTGTTTACAGAATAAATAGAAGGAACGAACTTCACGTGGTTTTGATACAATTTTGACGTAGCAATAAACGGAAAGGAGCATAGTAATATCGTAATACCACATAATTATTTATTTATTATTATTAAATATCACCCGTAGTTTTCGGTTTGTTCTGAGTTGGTGCGGTGGCAGAGAGTGAGAGGGGCGGTGACAGGAGACGACGTGCACAAAGTGTAGACCATTCGTCTTGGTCAGTGGGTGGGGCCATCCAGAGCCCACAAAGTCCAACTAGCCCTACAGGCCTGGGCCGCCGGCCCTAATCCCTTTCCATCATTAGGCCACTGTTCACTTTTCACCAAAAAAAAAAAAAAAAGTCCCAAATTAGGGCACTGCCATTTTAATTGCTACAGTTACCCTAACCTATCATCCACTCATCTGCCCCCATTTTGTCCCCATTCCGTCATTTCCTGGACTATTTTTTTTTTTTTTTGGGTTGAATTCTTTGAAAATTTAAGTTTGTGTTTAGTAATTATTTAAACTTCGAAATAACTATTTACTACAATCTAACCCTTTTAGATTGTTGGGCTTTCATGATGTATTTAACCAATTTTGTTTTATAAATAAATAAAGGGACAGTTATAAACATGGCAAAAAAAATTAATAAAATAACAAATTTAGCATATGTATTTTAGATATATAAATATAGTAAGATTTTTAGAAAAAACGGAGGTCCAATAATAAAATGTCAAATTTATCCTTATAGCATACTAATGATATAACACTAATATATATATTTTGTTTTATAAATAAATAAAGGGATAGTTATAAATATGAAGGAAATAACAAATTTAGCATCTGCATTTTAGATATGCAAATATAGTAAAATTTTTAGAAAAAACGGAGGTCCAATAATAAAATGTCAAATTTATCCTCGTAGCATTGATATATATATATATATATATATATATATATATATATATATATACACACTTAATATACATCTGATTTACTATTGATATACCACTGATATAACTATGTATCTACTAATATAACTTCTTATATGATTATATTATTTACTATTTATTGATTTACCACTAATATATATGTTATGTTTATATTATTAATATGTATGTGATATACCACTGATATAATACTGATATACATCAGATGTATATCAGATAAGATATACATAGGTATATCATTACAAATATATTTAGTATATCATAAATTAGAGGTACATCAGATGTATATTAGATGTATAATACGCACATCTAATGTATATCAGAGATATATTGGACGTATATCAAATATACATCCATCGGGCGTATATCAGATATACTTCCATCGGGCGTATATCAAATATACATTCATCGAGCATATATCAAATATACATCGGGTGTATATCAGATATCATAAGGGTAAAACTAGAATAATAAAAATTTCGAAAATAAAAATTCAAATATTTTGCCATATTTTCAAAATACAAAAGTGATTGACATTTCTGTAAATATATATAAAAGTTTAACTACCCAATACAATTTCCCATAAATAAATTTATTAAACATAAAATTTAATCATACGTCCAATAGAAACCTAAATTTTCAACTTTGTATTAGTAGATTTTAGATTTTAACAAATATGGTCAACAATTATTCTATGCAAAATTAAAAATTCAGAGATTTGTTAGAAAGTCTAAGACTTATTACGCACAAAATTTAAAATTTAGAGGTCTCTTGATACCTTTTGAATTCAAACACTCCTTAGATATATGATTGGAAATTTAGATACTTTTTAAAATCTAAAACTTTATTCCAAACTTGTTCCCAAAAAAAAACTGTAATTTAATATATATTTTTTATTTTTACTTTTTATGGAAAAAAAAAACCTCTAGGCTCTAGCCATAGACAAGCTCGGCTGAAGTTGAGCCCAACATGTTGATTTGTGGTTGGCTTTTGTCCAACAAATCCAAGAAGGTCGGCGTTTAAACTTTTATTTGTTATCTTTTTAACTTTTTTTCACTATATATAAAAATAATAATTTTTAAGTTAAATTATAATTTTAATCTAAAAATAAAAAAATTAAAATACATACACGTGTGGATTACGCTTACTTTAAAAAAAATTAAATAATTTATTAGATATTATATACTAACTTGTAAATATAAGATAATATAAACATAGTCGAACGGGACGAGACATCTGTTAACTTCAATTTTTTTTTTCTTTTATAAAGATTCTAACTTCGAGTTCCACCCAATTTAGAAATAAAAAAACTTGCAAATACAAAATAATAATAATTAATAAATTTGTTAAAACCGAATTTTAATGGGAAAACGAGGAAACTTTTTGGAGTTCCGGAGCGTGTAGAAGACGCGCATACTCACAAGCCCGCCAGCCGTCCATTTTCCCGCCATCCCCAACAGGCACTTGACAGAACGTTAAACCCATCAACGAGGCTTCGAAGTTCCGAGGGTTTTTCCATCTTATATGCTCCGGAACAAGAAGAAGAAAAAAGCCATATCCGGAAGCTTCAACAGAAACAGAAGAAATGGTTGACAATGTCGACGACCAAAGCAAGCTTCCTGAGCTCAAACTTGGTACAGTTTACGAAATGATTGTTTTTCTCTTTCTTTTTCTTTTTTCTGGTTCTCTCTCGTATGATGTTTTTTGGCGTTTTTTTAATCCATTTGGTTGAATGCATTGGCAGATGCTAAGCAGGCTCAAGGGTTTCTCGCATTCTTCAAAACCCTACCCCCCGTAAGTTCCTATCTCAAGTTCAGGGATGATATTTTGCTTATTTGCTAAAAATGTAGATGAGTACAGATGGAAATTACCTATTATTCTGCAAGAGATCGTTGCCTTATTTTTCTTATTTCATTATCTGCGCCGGGATGGGTTGATGTCACCAGAACTAGGTCTCTAGCAATACAGGAAAGAAGGAAGTAAATTGGATGCTTAATTAACTTTTTTACTAAAATAAGCTTATACAAGTAGCATTCACGATGTTCAAAATTATTTTGAAGCCCCTTTTTTTGGCTGAGCGAGGTTATGTAATTTATTGTAGTTGTATGTTTCTGCTGCAGGACTCAAGAGCTGTTCGATTTTTTGATCGTCGGGTCAGTTATCAATTTTTCCTTCCATTTGTTAATTTTATCCTGAGGCCACCCTTAGAGTGTCGTTATTGCCTCCCTGGTGCTATATGAATGAAATATACTACATGAAATTCAGTTGATTTTTCTTTCTTCTCATCATTTCTGTGAAGCAATTTGCGTATTATCAGACTATGTCCTTTACCTCTTGATATTTTTTTCTTCTTTCATTACCTTTTACTTTTTGCTGCTTTATTTTTGCGGAAAATGATATACTTTTTATTATTCTATTTGACTTGCGTGTTTAGTTTCCAACCGTTGAGGTTGGAACCCTGTTCATTCTGTTTGATGGATGAATACAAATGGAAATGATCTAAAATATAAGTCCCTTAACTTCATTATTAATTACAATTCACCATCTTCACAAGTCATTCAAACATAACCTTAAAATATTTCAAACAGAGCAATGTTTCTTCACCCATTTTAAGATTGACCTTTTTTTGTCCAAACACGTGAAGATATTAGTACTGATAAAATATTCCTTACATCATTCTTAAAGTTAGGTCTCATTAGTTTTTCTCAACGCAGTTCTCCAGTTTCTCTTTTTTTATCTGAAATGGGAAAAGATTGTGCTTTTTGTTCCTTTAAACTATTGTCATTACTTTTGCCCTATTCCATTCTCTAATATTTCGATCTTGCTATGTTAGCGTAGCATGCACGCCCATATAATTCAGTTTTCCCGTACAGGATTACTACACTGCCCATGGCGATAATGCAGTTTTCATTGCAAAGACCTATTACCGTACTACAACTGCTTTACGACAACTGGGTAATGGATCTGAAGCTCTGTCTAGTGTGAGTGTCAGCAAAAATATGTTTGAATCCATTGTTCGGGATCTTCTTTTGGAAAGAATGGACCATACATTGGAGCTTTATGAGGGTAGCGGTTCGAAGTGGAGACTGGTCAAAAGTGGATCACCTGGTAATATTGGCAGTTTTGAAGATGTTTTGTTCGCCAATAATGAAATGCAGGACAGCCCTGCTATCGTGGCACTATTGCCGAACTTCCGAGAAAATGGGTGCATTGTCGGATTAGGTTATGTTGATTTATCAAAAAGAGTGATGGGGATGGCTGAATTTCTTGACGACAGCCACTTTACAAATGTGGAGTCAGCTCTGGTTGGTCTTGGTTGTAAGGAATGCCTTCTGCCTCTAGAGAGTGGAAAGTTCGGTGATATAAAACCTCTACATGACACACTGACAAAGTGTGGTGTGATGCTGACTGAGAGGAAGAAATCAGAATTTAAAATGAGAGATTTGGTGCAGGATCTTTCAAGGCTCGTCAAAGGATCTGTTGAACCTGTCAGAGATTTGGTATCTGGATTTGAATTTGCACCTGCTGCCTTAGGAGCATTGTTGGCTTATGCAGAATTACTGGCAGATGAAAGCAATTATGGAAATTATATAATGCAGAAGTACAATCTTGACAGCTACATGAGGTTAGACTCTGCTGCCATGAGAGCATTAAACGTCCTAGAAAGTAAAACTGATGCAAACAAAAACTTCAGCCTGTTTGGTCTTATGAATAGAACCTGTACTGCTGGAATGGGTAAAAGATTGTTACATATGTGGCTGAAGCAGCCTCTGTTAGATGTTAAGGAAATTAATTCTAGACTGGACCTTGTTCAAGCTTTTGTGGAGGATACTGCTCTCCGCCAAGATTTGAGACAACATCTCAAAAGAATCTCTGATATTGAGAGATTGACACACTATCTTGAGAAGAGAAGAGCTGGTTTGCAGCACATCGTTAAACTTTATCAGGTATAGATTTAAATGAACTTCTGATAATTGCTGCTAACTTAAATATTTCCTAATGAATGGTCTGGATAATTAGATGCTAATTGTTAAACCTAGGCGCTTGGTTAATCAAGATGCTTGTACTATCATGAATAAATAGTTACTGTTAGCTTGGTTTTCATTCTAAGATATATTATTTTGTAGTAAATGTGTCCATATTATTCTGATATTTGGACGGTGCTCTATCTCAATTTTGTTTTCATCTTTATAATGCAGTCAAGTATAAGGGTTCCATTTATTAAGAATGCCTTGGAGAATTATGAAGGACAATTTTCCTCATTGATCAAGGAAAAGTACTTGGAATTTCTCGAGATATGGACTGACGCCAATCACCTGAACAAGTTCAATAATCTTGTGGAAACTGCTGTTGATCTTGATCAGCTTGAGAATGGAGAATATATGATTTCATCTAGTTATGACCCTGCTCTGTCCAAGTTAAAGAATGTGCAAGAATCAATTGAGCAGCAAATACTCGACTTGCACAGGCAAGTTGCTAATGATCTTGATCTTCCAGTTGATAAGGCCTTGAAGTTAGATAAAGGCACACAATTTGGACATGTTTTTAGAATTACTAAGAAAGAAGAACCAAAAGTAAGGAAAAAGCTCTCCACCCATTTCATTGTCCTTGAAACCCGAAAGGATGGAGTGAAGTTTACAAATACCAAGCTTAAAAAGCTGGGTGACCAGTATCAGAAAATAGTCGAGGAGTACAAGAGTTTCCAGAAGGAGTTGGTTCAACGTGTTATTGAAACTGCATCATCCTTCATTGAGGTGTATTTACTGTCTACAACGTATCTATTGCTTCATCATTAGAACTTTAATTGGACTAAAGAATTTTGCATGTCTCCAGGTATTCAGTCCTTTGGCAGAGTTGCTCTCTGAATTGGATGTTTTGCTTGGTTTTGCTGATTTAGCTTCTAGTTGTCCTACTCCTTATAGTAGACCAGACATCACTTCATCGGTATCTTTTCTACTGTTGGTTATCTTTAGCACCAATAGATATTGTGTTTTAAATGAAAATTGCACTTTTTGAAAGTTAATTTGTCTCTGGCCATCTCCATCAGGATGAAGGAGATATTATATTGGAAGGAAGTAGGCACCCCTGCGTGGAGGCTCAAGACTGGGTTAATTTCATACCAAATGATTGCAAACTAGTGAGTGGCTTGTTTGATAATAAAGAATAAGTTAATTATATTCTCATTTGTTGTTATTATGTTTTAGATTGAAATGAATAATTACTTATAACTTTTCTGTCTTACGTTAATAGGTAAGGGGGAAAAGTTGGTTCCAAATCATCACTGGGCCTAATATGGGTGGAAAATCTACATTTATCCGACAGGTGCTATGTTGATGATATTTACATCATCATTTTATTTTGAAACATCTGAGAACTTTTGGTGGTCTAATGGACCTGGATTTGTGAGACCTTGATCTCCCAACTTCCTCTTATGCATAGTTAGAACGATTAAGTTCCACAGGTGCTTGATATCAGCATGCTGACACTGTTGCACCTTGTATTCACTCTGAGTAGTGAGTACTGAAACTATCTTTTGTGGTGTTCCTAAACCATCTGATTAGCAGTTTATATTTGTGTCTGTAGGTTGGAGTGAACATTCTAATGGCACAAGTAGGTTGTTTTGTTCCCTGTGACAAAGCTAGCATTTCTGTTCGTGATTGCATTTTTGCTCGCGTAGGTGCAGGGGACTGTCAAGTGAGTTCTGGACACATACTCGTTGAGCATAAATATTTTTAAAAATGAATACCGTATATTTTACACTTTTACTGGAAATTTTGCATTACAAACCATGTTTCCTGGCATCTAATTTTAATTGTTTTCTTGGGAGCGGGTTCACTCTACCACCAACTTTTAGGCTGTCTTCCGTTTTATTATTATTATTATTATTATTATTATTATTATTATTATTATTATTATTATTATAAGCATTCAGCACGAACTTGGAGCCCTACCAACCCATTGCTAGTTGTAGCTGAACACTTAATGACACATTAGGAAACGAAAACTAAGCAACCGCAAGTTAGGACGATGGACTTTCTATGATATGATAGTATCTCCTCTGAACCTGAGCAGTTTTAAAATATTTCAGACCTTTAGATGTTCAGGTCATTCAAAGTGACTAATAATACTTTTTTTTAACCTTCATAAAATCCTTATGGTCTCTACCACCCAGCAATCTAACTCCTGATATTCCTAAATGACGTCTGGATGATGTGTTGTTCACTTAAGTTTTTTAATGCCACAAACTCTTGTTGGTTATATGCTTTAATCTCATTCAACAGACTAATTTAGTTTCAATGCCTTTATTAAGTTCAAAAAATTCTTTCAAGACGTTAATTGTACTGCCTTCACTTCAGCTATAAAGAAAAATGATTCTACCACTGCATAGCATCTTTTCTAGAAGCCGATACTAGTGAGAATTAGAGTTGAATAAACAAAAGCAGAAACAAACATAAATCTTTAAAATTCCTCTAAGTTCTTAATTGTCATCGCAATCATCTTTGCAATTGATGAGGCACCATTTTTGTCTTTTTATAAGCATTTGCTCGACAGTTTTCTGTCACAATGCAAAAATTATTTTCTAGTTATCTATATTTTGATCCCTTTGTCTTACTTGTTATGGAAATCTAAGAATGTTTATTTTACCATTCTAGCTTCGTGGAGTTTCTACGTTTATGCAAGAGATGCTTGAAACTGCATCTATATTGAAAGGAGCTACAGAGAAATCCTTGATAATCATTGATGAATTGGGCCGTGGGACATCCACTTATGATGGGTTTGGTTGGTTTCACCTTTGATTCTTGACTCTTTTACTTTTTCCTGATGTTTCTGCATTATAGAGTTCTCATTTATTATTCCGTAAGCTACATCGTCAATTCTTTTCACTTGACACTTTTGAATAATATCCAAATCAAGATGTTAATGTTTAATGCTGAAAACTCTATTATGAAATAAATACCTAACTCTGGAATGTTTATGGAACTTTTTAAATATGCTCATTATTCTTTTTTCTTTTTTTGGTTATTCAAATTATTTAAAGCACGTCGCTTGAAGAACTGAAGGAGATCAGTTTATCCAATGAAATTTATCTCTCTCTCACCTATCCAGCTTAACTTGCTGAAAATTGCAGTACATTTTAAATGGTACTCTTTTATGATATACTCATTAGCACCCGTTGACTTTTATTCCTCTCTATTTCTTACTGAGCCTGCAGTTTTTTTATATGGTGATCATCACCTTGAATTTTTATGCTTGGAGCATGGTTGGCAATTTGGCAGTGCTTTTAACACTGGTTTAGATGAAATAGTTTATTTCCTCAAGTAGGATTTTATTAAAATTACACTGTTGCCTCTTATAATCAGGTTTAGCATGGGCCATTTGTGAACATCTTGTTGAAGTGATTAAAGCACCCACTTTATTTGCAACCCACTTCCATGAACTAACTGCATTAGCTCGTGCCAATACTGATCTTGAGCCCCATGGAAAGCAAATTGTTGGTGTGGCAAATTTTCATGTCAGTGCACACATAGACTCATCAAATCACAAGTTGACAATGCTATACAAGGTAAATGGTTGTTAGGAATATTTTCTTTTTGTTGTATTTTAAGGTCTCTCTGTCTTAAATTAGATGGTTTGACAGAGGACATCATAACAGAGCATGCTTAGTTTTTTACTGTTTCTTTTAGATTCTGTTCTTTAGCACCAAAGGTTCGTTCTAGGAAAGATGAGGAAATGGAGCCCCCTTATATTATGTTTTTCCAAATAAATTAATTTTATAAAATTATACCTAAGTTAATATAACGAATTAGTATAAAGCCACTACAGAAATGCATTGGCAATGTTGTTTTAATGCTTTCTGAAGGATTACTATTAAACCTGTGGCATGGCACCTGTGTAATATGTTGACCTGGAGTTGTTGGACGAACGAGAATGGAAGTAGAGCTAGAGCCTGGAGTGCTGTTTCCTAACATGTTCTTGAGCCTTTAATACAAAATAAAGGAGGTTGTCAAAGTATTGTCTTCTCAGATCCATCCAAGAATAATGTGAAGTATCACTTTTTAATCTAGCTTTGGTATTTTACTTATGATTTCACTTTAGAATCTCTTAAATTATTCCTTCAAGTAGAGAATAAAAAAAACTCTACCGTCATTATTTAGACCATGCGGCAGGATGTTGAATTTAACAGTTCCCAAAGCTATTTCAGTTTGTTCAAATGTGTTATCAGCCTTCAATGATACTGGAGGCAGTAAGTTCATTATCTTCCCCCTTAATTACCTGCTGTTATGAGTCTTATATGTCTACAGAGCTTCATTTTTCCTTTTCTTTTCTGTATTTTTCAGGTTGAACCTGGAGCTTGTGATCAAAGCTTTGGGATTCATGTAGCAGAATTTGCAAATTTTCCTTCTAGTGTTGTGGCACTTGCCAGAGAAAAGGCTGCTGAACTGGAAGATTTCTCTACTAACACAACTATTTCAGCCACTATTGGAGAAGAGGTATAATCTAGAATGTTACATGTTCGTAAGAAAATAATTTACATCTATGCTTATATACTCCAAATTGTGGGATCAATAAATCCAAAATTCAAATAAGACCAATGGATCTGACTTTCTTCATTGGGTAGTCTTATGTTTGTATTTCTATTCAAAACTCAAATCCCTACTAAAAAACTGAATGGGATATTACAAATCTTAAAAACTAAAAGAGATGCCACACAGCTTTGAACCTAGACTACTATTTTTAGCCAACTTTTGATTGAAACGAAGTTTATTCTTCTCAAATAAGCTGAATGCATGCAAAGTCTTTTTGGTTTTCTGATCCTCCATGTGTTTCTTTTTTCCTTTTCTTTTTCTTTGACATCATCCATGTGATTATCCAAACTGTGGATTAAGGGAAAAGGAAGAAGCAAAGAGGTTTAGCTTTCAAAAATAATTAGGATAAGACCTAATTTATGGAAAGATCATCCTTAATTATAGATTTTAAAAGAAAAAGGTTTCAGGATAAAGGTGTTGGATACTTGGCTGTTTTCTATAGTATAGCAAGTTTCTTTGTATTGAAAAGTTGAGGGATGAAATTTTTGTCTCTAGAGGCGTTAGATAGGAAGATCCTCTATTCCTCTTCCTCGTTTGAGTGGAAGGAGCCAATGCTTGGGACAATTTCATGGAAGTGTACCTCATTTTGTAGATTCTTTTTGGGGTTGAAAAATCAACTTTCTTGACCAAGGGTAATAAAAGAAGACGAGCCAGAACCAAAAATTAAAAAATGAGACTCCCAATTGTTAAGAATGAATGTTGACTTGATAATCAGGAAACAATTTTGTTTTCGAGATCCAAAAGGAAATATTAAAATGTGTTGAACTTCAAACCTCCTCCCAAGAAACATCTCCATCCTTAAAAAGCCAAAATGACATCTCCATAGAATGTGGTCCAAATCCTCTTTGGCTCACTTACAAGAACATGACCTGGAACCCAAAATCATAGACGAAGATCTCTATCCAAAGTCAATGGACCCTCTCGTCAGGAACAAACCAGGAGAAATATAGACATTACAATAGAACACACCCGTGGCCTCAAGCAACCAAATACAACTATCAAAAGAATCTATGTGAAAATGAACATGCAAAAGAGATAGCAAAGAGGATAAAATCGTTGGCTTCTCCATCAAACAAGGCTCTCCTAATTAAAATTTAAAAGTTATATGATAGAGTGCTCGCAGGCGAATAAATAACAGAGGCAATAAGATCAGTTTTCGTTGAAAAGATTGAAGAGACGAGGGCATAGCAAACAAGAGTGCCTTTAATCACCACAATAATGTTCCACCCATTAAGAGTAATGCCCATGTTTAATTTGTCCGTGGCTTTTCTTCTTCTTTCTTCTGCCATATCAGATATGTGCGAGCATGCATGCACGTGAATGTGTCCCAAATATATATAGATATTTCAATCATATGCATTAAATTTATACGCCATTACTTATCAGTATATTGCTACTGGACTTGTAAATCCAATAAGCAGCAAGATGTACCCAAGCAATCGAAGCGTAAACGAGAGTTTAGTTCAGATGACATGTACAAAGGTGTGGCGCGGGCTCGCCAGTTTCTAGAGGAGTTTTCCAACCTGCCATTGGATAAGATGGATCTGAAGGAAGCTCTGCAACAAGTGAGCCAATTACGGGATGGTCTGAAGAAGGATGCCGTGGACTCTAACTGGCTCCAACAGTTCCTTTAGCCGACTCTTATGAGGTGTGCCTGCTACCTCATTCATGCTTTTTGGTATTTGTACAGCTTTGTAAGGCGTAAAGGAGATGTTTTTGTATCCTCCCTCACAATTTTGGATGTATAGAAGCTTCAAATATTGTTGCTAGCTTCAGTTTTTTGTTACCTCTTTTCTTGGGTGGGGGTAATTATGTATCAAGGGAAAGAATGGCCGGAGGAAATGGAATTTGTAGACTATATCTGATGAAAAATTTTGTCAAATGTCTGATTGCCATGGTTTAGCCTTGACTTGTTGTAAAAAATATACGTCTTACTTAATCAAACTATGCTTAAGTTGGCGATTACCATAGTTTTATATATTCCTTTGAAAATGAATAGAAATTTATCTTTCCATTATTTATATCTTGATGTGTATATTTGATTGAAAGTTTTGGATCATTACTTCTATAGATAGACCTATCAAAATTCAAATTATCTCAACTCATTTCACATTCAATTCAACCTTGTCTTTGTCTTGGAATTATTTTTATTTTTCTTATTGGGTGATAATAAATTAAGAATGCAAGCAAAATAAAAAACTCTTGTTTAATTGGTACTTTTTTTTCAGACAAAACAGTTTTTTCTGAGGTTGATGAGTAGTTTGAAACGAAAAATCAATCAAATCAACATATCTTTTCAATTGCCATTTCATTTTCAAATCCAATGGAGCACATTCAAAGGCAGCCCTTTGGACCTACTGAACGCCAACCACACTTGTAGAATCATTTTCAGATTGAAAAGCAAAAAATATCACAATGATTGATGAAAAACAAAGTGAAATCAAATTTTACAAAAGATATAATGTGATCTAATATTACTTTCTCTCTTTTTTCTTTTTCTTTTTTGTTCTTGTTTTGGGATTTAATGTAACGTTACGTTAACTATACATAAAATTACAAGTTTTATTCCTTAACTTTTACTACTGTGTCTATTTAGTTCATGTAAATTAAAAAAAAACTAATAGATCTATAAAATTTCAATTTAGTGCCTAATAAGTTTTTATAATTAATTTTAACACTTTGTGAGTCGTTAATTGTGTATTACTTAATTCCAACATGAGAATATAGCTCAAGCATCCACTCCTCCCGTTAAAATCATAGGTTCAAATCCTCCTATTTCACATTTGTCGTACTAAAAAATAAAATAAGAAATATAAAATTGTGTATCACTTAAGCATCCAAAATCAGGTGGAAGGTCATTTTTCGACAAATTTAAGTTCAAAAGGTTGTGAGTTCGAATCTCTAACTTATATATATTAACTTTCAAAATATATATACCAAATAGGTACAATAGTAAAAGTTCTTAAATATATATATCAAATAGGTACGATGGTAAAAGTTCAACACTAGTATATTTTTTTTAATATCCTACGAGTTACCTTATCAACTAAATGTAGTAATCGAGATGAGTGCAAGTCGGCTCGAACATCACAAAAAAAGAATTATAAATTTTTTAGAATCTTAAAACTAAATAAACAACCATGCATTTATATGGTGATGAAATATGTTATACTTGATATATTTGAATTTTATGTTATATGATAAAAATTATTGTCTAAATATAGGTCTATTATGCCAACATAATATATATGTCAATTATGGTCATGAGCATGACGTGTGGGGGACAAACAGATATTTTGATTTTAGTTGTCTTTATTCATCCTAAGCTTTTAGTATGAATCCAATAGGATATTAAATATCTGCCACGTGTCACTAGGAAACAATCCCTCATCATTATTTTCGGTTGAGATGTCATATCCATTCATTTTTTTAGTACAACATGTGGAGATGGAGGATCGAACTCACAACCTTATGGTTGGAGGTATATGTCAATTACCACTGAACATATTCGTTTTGGCTTATTCTTATTCTTATTCATTTTCATCCCAAAAAAATAGATTAATATATATTTTTCGTTTGTTTTATTTTATTTTAAAGAAAATGAATAGACAGGAGATGGGCTACCATAAAGGGATGAATGATATTTAAAACAAAAGGCTGAAATGTCATTTAATTATGCCAAAACGAGCATATAGTTTAGTAGTAATTGACATATATCTCAAATCGAGAGGCTGTAAGTTCGATTGTCGATATGTGACTATCAGATCATTATAGTTCTCGATTGTCGATAGAGTTTATTTGAAATTTATTTTATTAAAATAATTGTTATATTTTGTCTGGTTTATGATGTATGTGATAATTTTATTGGCAGATCTCTTGATTTGTGACTAGATTTACAAACTCATTTGTCTTTTTAAATTTACTAATTTTATTACACGTGCATTACTTTTCTTCGGTTTATTTTATTTCATAATTAAATAAATATTAAACTGAGTTTATTTATGTTTTTTATAAAATAAATTGTCAAAAGTAAAATCTAAACTTACCAAATAAAATATAATAATTTAATACACATGCTAATCTTTTTACGAAAAATTAACTTATTAACAAATCCAAAGCATCCATAAACATTTTGAATAACAAAAAAAAAATAATTACAAATGAAGGAAATAAAATAACAATAATAGAAAAAAAAGAAGATCAAGAAACGTCTATACACAACTTTCTCAAAATAGATTTACCTCTAACTTAATAACTATCAGATAAATATCACTATGAGACTTCATTAAAGGAAAAAAAATGGTAGAAATTAAAACTGATAACATTTTACAAGAAAACATACGAAATAATACATTCTTTTACTATCGTAGATATTAATATTTACAAAAAAATAGAAGGTATTATTCTGCATGATTAATTTTTTTTAGTATGTGTTCTTTATATATAAGTATTCTATTAATACAAAGTTGACCCAAGATTAAGAATAGTGTATTAAAAAAGAATGCCATTTATTTATCCATAATGCTACGTTTCTAAAAATAAATAATAGGGATATTTCGGTCCAATAAAAATGTCATTCGTTTGGTGTGGGTGACCGAGCTGTCGGCAGTTGGAGGTTAATTAAAATATCTGCTTTATTCCGTGACGCCCTCTTCGGTTCGAACTTTGAACTTCGAACACAGAGAATGTCTAACAACTATTTTGCCACAGATATTAAAAAAAAAAAAGAAAGAAAAAAAGTGTCAGTTTATTAATGTTAAATTTACCGAACTATCCCTAAATGTTCCTCGAAATTACACCTTTAATTGTGATAAATTCCACCAACTTGTAACCCTTGTATGTCACGCCCGTTCCCAATAAAAGAAGTTTCATATTGGTGGGTCCCATTCATTCCAACTTAAAGTTTTTTTTTCTTTTTTGAAAAAATATTTATATTTGGTTCAAATTTATAAAATGCCCAATTGAGTCCATTAAAAAATCTAATATTTTTCTCCTATGGAAAGAACACTAAAATGAACAAAATTTTGAAAAATACATTCATCTAAATAATATTTAAATATTTATATGGATGAAATTTGAGCATATTCAACTCTGCTTAATAAACTTAACTATTTAGAATTACGTTTCATCTTTACTATTTATTTTAACCTATACATTACATCAAGTGTTACATATTTTTCGAATAAGTGAAATGTGTTAAATTATATCTTTCTTTTTTTGAGAAAAATTTATATCCATTTATTTGTTGAATGACTTGAACCGAAATCGAGTATAAACATTTTAATTATCAAGAAAAATGCAAACATATTATAGAGTTGAATTGACTTTGAAATTAAATTCGGCCCAATAGCAGTTAGAAATGATTTTGAAATAATAATCTGCTGTGTCACGACAAATAAATATTTTGACTTATTGGATAATGTTTTTTTAATAAGGAGATGCTCCGTTTACTGAGAATTTTCTTTTCTGTATTTAAAATTACTTTGAAATAAAAAATATATTTCATTCAAAATTGTCCAGGATTGATAATAAAATAAATGAGCCGTTGGTATGGTAAGCAAATTTATTTTACTGTGTCTTTTCAAGTGTAAAATTATTGCTATGTATTTGTATTTCAGGTAATTTCACATAGTAATCTCGTTCTATTAAATTAACTCTGAAATCCAAGTTATTTCAATGGATCAATGTTTATAAATAAATAAATAAACCTTAAATAAATACAACAGAATGTTACCTTTTTTTTTTTTAATTTTATGGAATGCGGCCAAAAACCAAATGCTGATATATGTTTTGTCCTTTGCCAAAAAAAAAAAAGATATATGTTTTGTATTGACAGAAGACTTTCATTATTAGAAAAAAAAATTAATGTAAAAGATTCCTATTATTATTATTATTTTAATTTTTTTTTAGAAAGATACATTATTTCAGAATTGATTTGGAGGGATTCTCGGGGCAATTCCTAACTACTAAAATCAACTAAAAAGCATAGATAGTATCTATCTGGTCATTCTTATTGTCTTATATGTGGATGTAGTCATTCATTTTTAGATATTTACACAAAAAAAGCAAACAATAAATAAAATATTTTAACAAGATTAAAATTAAAATAAGACAATCAAATCGTATTTAATGTAATATAATTTACGATAAAGAAGTTACATTTGAAAAAAACAAAAAGTGTAACATTTTCTTAAATATATTTAGTGAAATTTATCCTCATTTCTTCTTTTAACAATTTTTTGTTGTTGTCACTGTTATTTTGTAAAATAATTTTTTTTAGTTGATAAAAATATGTGTTAACCATTTGAGCTATGTTCGATTTGACAGTAATGCTCAATTTATAATTGTGCAATAAAATATGTTATTTTATTTTCTTAAAAAAAAAACCATGATCCCATGAAAGGAGAAACATAAGATTTTAGGGAGCAGAATTAGAAAGTTAATCTTGCCATATAGATTACTTTTGGAATGATTTCGAATTCAATTTTGTACATATCATTAAATTTGGAAAGATTTTAAATTAGTGTTTTGATACACAATCTAATAAGTTTTTTTTTTTTTTACTTATAAAAAAAATCCAACGTAATATGGGCTTGAAATCAAAATTTAAATAATAAAGAATTGGCATTAGGTTCCACACAAGTTAGTAAGCCAAAAGAAAAAAAGAGAATTATACGATATATAGTTTAAATATCGTAAATAACTTTATACAAAATACTAAATATGACCATACCTATAATTTCTATAAAATCAGATTGTAATTGTAATTTATCGAGGACCACAAATTATAGTATGTAAATAGAAGGCTTATGTGGATCCCAAATTTTTAGCTTGAAAATTTTGTACTTTTATAGAAGTCGGATAATAATAATATCTCTTTTCTTTTTTTTTCTTTTATTTGTTGAAAATAATCGAAAGATTTAAATAATATTTTAGATGTTTTTTCGTGAAAAAATGTATATTCTAGTCCTCATGCTATAAAAAGTGTTCAATTTAGTTTGTTTTAGCCTATTCATTATACTTTATATCCCATCTTTTCTATCACAATTTCAACATAATATAATATTTGATAAAATTCTTGAAATATAGTCGTAATTATGTATTATAGAGTTTTTCATTGGGTCTAAATTTTAGAGTTACATAGAGAGATTAAATGAATGAGAGTTGAGAAGAGATGAACTAAACAGTATTTAAACCTAATTTAAAAATCAAAACTTTGGCCCTTAATTTTCATATTCGGCTTGGTTGTTCAGATGTACACGTGGAGGAAGGCAGGAAAAGCAGAAAATGGTGGGTGAGAGAAGCGGGTGAGTTTAGAATCTCCCACAAAACTCAACTCTCAACACTAGGAGCGCCCATCGGCATTTGCCTGCTTTGATTTTCCATCACCACACCCACTTGGTTCGATATTTCAATTTTCAAACTTGGTGCTGTTTTGCCGTTAAGCAAAAGCATTTACACAAAGGGGCAGTGTTCTGGATTAAATTAAGATATTCTACAGCGAGAGAAGAGAGAGAGGGGGGGAGGTTTGTTTCCTTTTTTTCTTTCCCGATGGTGGAAACAGACCCATCTCCCTTTTACTTGATATTATTCCTTCAGTCACTTTAGAACAAGTTATTGCCTTATTGGGGGGAGAGAGACGGGGATTGAGAGGTTCTGGTCCCTTCTTCCTGCCATTATTTCCTGTCACACCCAGTTTCTGATTTCCTTCAATTTCCGTTTTTGGCTTCCCTTTTGCATGATTGCTTCTTTCGCTATTTGGGTCTTGAGAGGTGTGGGGCGTTGAAGAGGGAGGAGGGATTTAAGGTAAAGGAAGTGGGGTGGAGGAGGAATGACTTGGAGGAGAGTTTTGAAGTCCGTGCAGGCACTTTTGGCCCATGGTTCACTCTTCTGTTTCACGCTCTTGCTCGTTCTCAAGCTCGATCATTTCGTTTCCTACAGTTGGTGGTACTGTATCTTCTCTCTGCCCTTTAAATTTGGTTTTGCTTTGGGTCTTGATGTTCTCAAAGTTCCATTGTGGTTTAATCCATTATGGTTTTTTCTGTTTTCTCTCAATTTATCTTTAAAATTCAGTGAAGGGGAAGGGTTAGTACGGTTTTCAGGGCGATGAATTATGTCAATTGTGGACCGCTTCCTTTCCTTTTTTATAAAACGTTGGCGATGCCAATTAGGATGATGGATTTCTAATCGGCAATTTGGTCTAAAGAGACTGAGGTGATAAGAAGAGAGCCGTCTGGCTGACATAATTTTGAAAATTTGTGTGGATGGTCTGAGATTGAGTTCTCGCAGCAAGTCTGTAGTCGTTTCCTTTCTCTTTAAGTGAAGAATAGGTTGAAACTGAATCCAAAATGTAATACTCTGTTTTGTGGTGTTCGCAATCGCCAAAAGTAGATTCAATTTTGGGTCGGTAATGGTTTGTGGCTCCTTGGTCTATCAGAGAGTTTAATCCCTTTACACTTTTTTATTTCCTTTGAAAAAGGAAAGAAAAATGGGATTCTATTTTGGGCTCCTTCCCTTCCACTCCGTAGTTGACTAACCTGCTCCCGTGGTTTCTTTAGAGTAATTTTTTTTAGGTTATTTAGTTAAGCACAACTCAGGTAGCTGCTGTACGTTTTGATTCTGTCTTTTAAGATACTAAATACTTTCAATCTAGATTTTTCGTGCATATGAATCTGTAGATGTTGCAGAGTAATAATTTTATGAGAAACCACATTTTCCTCTTTCTTTCCAATTGACTCTTTTAAAATTTTGACACGTAGGACTATCTTTTTTCCACTTTGGGTATTTCATACGATTGCTGCTCGAGGAAGGTTCTCATTACCTGCCCCATCTCTTCCTCATAACCGTCATGTAAGTCATTAGACTCATTACTGGCAAATGGATTTTGTTGAGATTGGTGCTGTTTTCTGTTTTGTATCAAAGGGTTTCTTTTGTATGACATAGTTTGTAAATATGCATTACTAACGTATTTCTGTTGAACAGTGGGCACCGTGCCATGCTGTTGTTGCAACGCCTTTGCTTATAGCATTTGAAATACTTCTTTGTATATACCTCGAGAGCCTTTCTGGTATGCCATTGTTATGGATGCGTTTTCATGTACATACTTCCGTCATTTTCTTTGTGCCGTTTGTTTCAATTATAGTACCTTCAAATGATCTGTAATTTTTTAAGCATGTTAAAGCATTATTTCTAGTGCAACGGTTTCTTCCCATTTTCATTGTTCAACATGGTACTGCTCTGTAAGTTTATTGATGTAACACCCTTTCTGGCAGTTTATGGTTTTGCCGCTGTGAGTTTGAAGATTGTCTTTCTACCGTTGCTGGCATTTGAAAGCATTATTTTAATAGATAATTTCAGGTACTCTTCACTGCAGTATATGTTGCATACATTATGGTATCATGTATTAGTATTGTATATTTTTTTTGTCTTTTGATGCTGTAGTCTCTTAACAATTATCATCATGTCTTAAATCCTTTTTGACCTTTGTACTTTGTTAGAATTACCTCTTCTAAACTGTCTTCTACAAGCTCGACGTTTATCTTATCAATTCCTCCCCTCCCCTCCCATTTAGCCCAACAGAATGATTGACATTCGCACTTGCTAAAAGAAAATTTTCTTTTATGCATGAATGGTTGTTTGTATATTATCATGCATATCAACAAGCTTGCTGACTTTTTCTATTTGCTTTTTAGAAGTATTTTTGGATCTGAGCCAAATTATTGTGAGTTGGTCTGACCTGCCTTTCATATCTTTTCAGAATGTGTAGGTCACTAATGCCTGGTGACGATGAAAGCATGAGTGATGAGGCAATATGGGAGACTCTTCCTGTAAGTCTCATTATATTGTCATTTATTGAACTTTTCTGTGAGGCCATCCTTAACTCTTTGAGAATGGAAAATTACTTGAAGCGTTGAAGTTTTTGAGTTATATTTTCCCTCGAAAGAACTCAGCATTTCATAGTATGAATGTGAAATGGAAGGAGACTGGAGAGTAATTACTTACCTCTCACTAAGATATCTCATAGGTTGTTGGAACTCAACAGGTTCTTACTAAGCAATTACTAACCTCTCACATCTTCTCTAATAAGAATGCAAAAATCTTTTGGCTGCTAGTAATTGATGTCTTATAGTGTTTGTACTATGAAATCGATATCCCAACTTTGTTATTTTATGGTTTTTTGCAACATTTAATTGTCTATAATTTGCTATATTTTGATTATGTGAGGAGGGAAAGCAGCGAACTGAAAGTAGTGTTGGTAGAGGAGAATTTAACAATTATTGGTAATTTATTTTGATAGGAAACAAGTATTTCATTGATTGCATGAAATATTACAAAAGAGATCCTATACAGGATACCTATCAAAGAGAGAGGAAGAGGAAATAGAATGCTCCAGCCATAGGGAGGTTTCAAGAAAACTTCTCCAGTGGGTAATTAGAGGGGATAGACTATAATTGTGAAAAGGGGGATAAGATTTGCACCACAGTAGCGCCTAAAAAGAAAGAAAGACACTCAAAGATGATGCCGAAAGGCTTCTCAATATCATAAAAGATCCTATTTAAGCTTTATGAATTTTATTCAGAGGGTCTTTTTGTCATTTTTAGATGGGTGATTCACTAGCATAAAGGAAATCATAGTATAGGGTTCCTTTGGGATGGGTAAACCATCCAAAAGATGCAATGATCCGGTTTAAAAATGATTCTGCGAATCTGCAAGTGACGGCTATTAATATTAACTTAAGAGATAAAAACAAAGTCCGTCAGAAGAAAACTAATTGTATGGGTATAAAAAAAAATTGTTGGATTATTTGGTAATCGGCTTTCTAATAATACCAAGGATGAGTTGGCCCTAGGATGCTCTTGGGTCCATCCAATTTATGGTTTTAGAACTTCTTGGTGCCACCTTCACAATGTCTTATGAATTCCCTAAGTAAGTTTCTAACTGTAGCCACCAATTATTTTATCTAGTTGAACAGAGAGAAAGGTTGAAAATTCTTGCTTTTAGAAAGGTAGCACCTGTTTTCTTAAGAAGCAATTCTTTTTTATAAGGAAGGAACCATATACAGGTTATGTACTCCTGCAAATATCGAGTGAATATAATCATCCATCAAGTGTTTTTTGACAAACATTTTTTGTACTTTATTAGGCATTCAGTTGTTGTTTGAGACAAGCTAATTTTCTTCTCTACTTCTGTAGCACTTTTGGGTTGCCATTTCCATGGTCTTCTTTGTTGCTGCTACAATATTTACCCTACTGAAGCTGTGTGGTAATTTTTATTTTTATTATTTTACCTTTTTTTCCCTGTCCCTTGTATATGAAATGTGACTCCGCATTCAGTTTTGAAAGTCACGATTCTTGTATAGAACCAGGCCTTGTGTTTATATAAATCCTTAAATAGCCATTTTCCATATGTTAGATGCCATAGTTTTTCTAGACTTTAGTTCATTTTAAAATAATATGTAGCTATTCGGGGAGTTCTGTGGACGTAACAGTATGTTTAACGTATTGTATGTATATGATTGCTAAATTTTAATTGAATGATTACATCACCGCTCTTTCAATTGTTAATATTCAAGTTTTAAAAGACCTACGTTACTGGTTCTGACCACATGTCAACATGATGTAGGGTCAACAGAATTTTCATCATTTGAAGGATTAATTAAACATCATGCTTAGTAGTAAAATAGAGTGCTAGATTGTTCATTTTTAATATATATGTATATATATAAACCAAGTGCAAGATGTATAACAGTTGAAGAATTTTGAAATCTAATGACTGTCAATAATGAGAGAACAGTGCCTATTTTCAAAAAATTTATTTTCACCATGCTCTTATTGTAATATATTGTCATGCCTTTTTCACTTTTTTAACCGTAAATCTAGATTCACGTCTTAGCTTTTATTCGTCTTCTACATGTTTTCAAAAATTTCATTGCCAACTAGACATATTTATTCTGACATACTTGGGATACATAATCTCACACAAAATGGTTATTTTCTCAGTCTCAGCATCCATTGATATGCATATATGTGTCCATCTTGATAGGCTCAAGTTCTTCTGGGTGATTAATCTCTAATTTTGATAAAAATAATTACAGGGAATGTTGGTGCTCTTGGCTGGTGGGACTTGTTTATAAATTTTGGGTAACATTCACGTGCCTTCTTGTGTCAAAATATCTTGATTTTACATTATGATTACATCTTAGCATTATGAATCAACTATTGTGAGGATGCATTACTTATTGTTTGCCAACCTAATTTAATTCTATGTTCTTTTCCCTGGATACTCTTGCTGGCAGCATTGCAGAGTGCTTTGCCTTTCTTGTTTGTACAAAGTGGTCTAATCCTGCGATTCATAGAAATATTCAAACAAGAGAAAGCTGTTCATCATCAACAGTAGTTAGATATCTAGATTGGAACAGTGGTATAATAGTTTATCCAGAGCCGGATCAGCATCAGGACAGAATGTGTGGCCTTCAAGACATTGGAGGCCATATCATGAAAATTCCCATAATTGTTTTTCAAATCCTTCTCTGCATGTATTTAGAGGTATGCTGCACAATCAATGTATATCTCTTATACTCATGCATCTTTCAACTTCTCTTTGTTTGGATCCTTCGACCTTAATAATCTTGAAACGTCCATGTTTTGGTTTTTCATTTCAACCAAGGGCGGTAGTACTAATATCAGCCCCGAGTTTAAAACACCTTGAAGTAACCACGGTGACTATTATGTCATGATATTTAATTTAGTCATATCCACATTTCAGGGAACGCCCGCCGGTGCGAAAAATATACCACTTCCTGTTCTTTTCTCGCCCCTTTTTATATTGCAAGGTGCTGCTGTTATTTATGCTGCATCTAGGTTGTTGGAGAAAGTTGTACTTCTCTTAAGAGGTGGATCTGGCACAGCATTGTATTTCAGTTTTTCTGCTAGGGCTCATGCCTGCTTGGATTTCTTTCATCATGGTTCAAGGTGATATACTTGTTAGAGTATTATCCCTTTCTCTTCCTTCCACTTCTTCTGAGGTTATAGCTCTGAATGAAGATAATGCTATCAAGTCTATATTGTGCACTTGAAGCATGGAATGTGTTCACATGAAGTAAGAACTTACTTGATATGGTGGAGACAGGTTATTGGGGTGGTGGTCTATTGATGAAGGCAGTCGAGAGGAGCAGGCACGATTGTTCCATGAGGGTGCATCCGGGTCGGTATTTATTTACTTGCAATTAGTTTTGTGAGAACGCTACTATACAGATACACTACATGCCTGAATACATATAGCAACAATAAAAAACTTGTGTGACTTGTTGGTATGCAGGCATTCATATCTTCTAGTGCTTACTTTGATTCCATAGCTTATCTTCTTTGGCCGGTCTTGTTTGTTAAGAAAAATTTATGATTTTGATGGTTGCAATTTGTCTAGAAGTGACTCTAGATCCCCGACTATCTTGTTTAGTTTTCAATTTATTAAAAAAAAATTTCAAGCCTTGATCAAATTCCAAAAATTAAAATCAGTTTTTGATATATATATATATAGTTTTTTGAAAATTGACATTGTTTTAAAAATGTTTCTGAAAGCGTACCATAACACAAATGAATTTAAAAAAATGAAATTGTCAGAAGAAAAAGTGGCTTTAATAAATCAAGCTATATTTAATTCACTACTTGGGACCAATTATGGATTGAAGTGAAAATTCTGTATTAATACTAATAGTGAATAAAGATAAGCTTAGTTTTTAAAAGATATTTGCTTTTAGAATACCAGAAAGCAAGGAAAAAAATTAATTAGTATATTGGCTATGAACCATTCAGGTATAATACTTTTAGTGGATATCCTCCTGAGATTGTGAAGAAGATGCCTAAGAAAGATCTTGCTGAGGAGGTGAGCGTAGTTATCGCGTTTGAATTTTGATGAGTTGTCCGTGACCTTGCCGCAAGTTTTACTTGTCCTATATTTGATCTTTCACTTAGCACAGGTCTGGCGCCTTCAAGCGGCACTTGGGGAGCAGACAGAAATCACCAAATACAGTCAGCAGGAATATGAAAGACTTCAAAATGTAAATTCTCCCTCTTTTGTTGACAGATTTAAACAATCTGGATACTTGCTGGGTCCTGTAACTTTATATCCAACATGTTTCTACTAAATTTGCTATGGCTTCCTTAATCCAAAATGATAACATGATTATTTTCATCTGCATATCCTTAGGAGCTTATGATATGTGTGCCTATAATGTATATCATATTCTTTTAGTTGTTTTCACTTCTCTCTAATGTGATAGGTTTGCTTCCACATTGCTAATGGTTTTTCTTGTGATCTTATTCTATCTTCCCCTGATGCTTTGGGCAGGAAAAGGTGTTGTGTCGGGTTTGTTTCGAGGGGGAAATTAGCATCGTCCTTCTTCCGTGTAGGCATCGCATACTATGCAGGTACATCATACCCCTCCTTACCCTATGCTATTGAACTAGAGTTATCTGGAAATTGAGCTAAAGCAGCAGCAGCAGCAGAAGCCTATATTACCTCTTCAAGATTCATCAGCACTTGTTATTAATATTTTTGCAGCATCTGCTCTGAGAAATGTAAAAAGTGCCCAATATGCCGCGTCTCTATCGAAGAACGATTACCGGTTTACGATGTTTAGATCTTTCGTCGAAGCGGAGTTTTGCTGATAGTGAAGAAGGGGAAGTGTTGGCAGTTGTTGATACTGAAAAGGGAGGATATTTTGGTATAGAAAATTGCAGTTGCAAGATGATACTAAACTCTAAACCCTGCTTAAACTCCTGTTGTCCCTCTGTTGCAAATGTAAATAAGTGGGTTTCTGTGAGGAAAATTAACTCTGATAGAGTAACAAAATTACAAATACAGGTCTCTGGCACTTGCACTGTATAATTCAGGTTATATGTCACTTGATTTTCTGTGTATATAGAAAAATAACTTTTAACTTCAATTGTAATTCAAGTTTTGTCCCCCACAGGCAAAGTTGTTTTGATATTTGATGACTCAATTAATTGTTGAAATGGTTAATTGCAATTAGATATTAATCATTAATATCATTTTTAATTTTATAATAAATGAACTATCATGTACATGCATGAGTTTAAATAGTTTATTTTGCTCCCCTACTTCTAAAATGTTTATTTTGGTATTTGTACCGTTAAAATGTCTAATTTAGTTTAAAAGTGATCATTTTTGTGTTTGTTGGTAAAATTTTAACAAATTTAATATAAAGTAGAAATTATTTAATACAAAATTACTAATATGTTAGATAAAAAAAAAAAACTAAAATGTAGATAAAATAAATGAAACCTGGTTTTCAAGGATCAGAATAATATTTAACTTTGAATTTTAAAATGTTAACCTTTTTAAAAATAATTATTTAAGCATATTTTAATTATGAAAAACAAATCTTTGTGGAAATAGTTTACCTAGAGGTGGCAAGAGTATTGACATTTGCTCTACATTTTTGACCAAGTTGTAGTGTGAAAGTATTAAGAAAAGTATTTTCCTCCTCTGTCCTATTGAAATTTTTTTTGGCACACCTACCCTTGACACACATTAAAAATTTGTAATGTTTTGAAACTAAATAAATACAACTACTAAATCGAAATATTATAGTTTAACCTAAAAACATCATAATTATTGAACTCAAAGAAAAAGAAAAAAAAAAGAACACAATTATATTAGGACTCTATAAAAACAAATCAAGTTATTGAAATTTGTCAGAATTATCAATTCTTAACCAATATTTTCAAAAAAAGAATTTGACACGAGTGTTAATAATATGTCATCAATTTTACAATAAATTCTATTTTATTTAATGTTTCTTTTTTAAAATTTAATATGTTTTATTCAATGAATTATGCTCACTTTCCTGGTTAAAATATTTGGATGATCCTTTTCATCGCTATATTTCTTCGAAACCAAATCATTTTAGTTTTTTCCAGTACAACAAATGTGCGGAGATGGGAGATCGATTCTTCAAATTAAGGTGCTTTAATCGCTGAGCTATAGCTACTCGATTACCTCTCATTAATTTTAGAGATATATAAAATCATAGTTTCAATTTACTATTTATATATTTTTTGATAAACATTAAATGATAAATATTAGCATCCTATTAATTAGATTAAACTATTTCAAAGACAAAAACATGTAAATCAAAAGGCAAAATAATGATAGGCAAAATTTTATGTGAAAAATGATGAAAATGTAGTTGGTTGTTATCCTTTAGAGACAACGAATGTAATAAGAGCATCCATCTATAAAATGATCAGCCTAAGATGACTATTGAGAATTAATCAAATCCGATGGATCTATTTTCCAATCTTTCTAACTTGCTCTTATAAAATTAAGGTAAAAATTATTGAGAAAAATAAGTCATTGAACCATAATATGAAGAAGGATTATTTGAAAGGTTATGGATTAGTAATTCTATTAATGATTTTTTAGTCAAATATAAACATCTTAACCAGTTGAACTATGCAATTTATTTAAACTAACGTAATCGCAAAGGTAATCTTTTTATGTTTGATGTAATATCCACCTTAATTTCTAGTTTAATTTGTAAGATTAAAATTAAATTTTTTGTAAAGTACAGCAAATACGTGCCGTTAGAGATGCCAAACTTACACAGTTACATTTGTTTATTTTATGTTATGTAATAAAATAATTAAAATGATGAACTTTAGGATAGTGTAAAATTAGATATCTCGATCAGCAGATTAGAATAAAATATCTTTCTTCTTTCCTTTCAGGAAAAGGGAAAACGAAAAAAGAAAAAAAGAAACCTTTCTTCTTTGATATTAAATGTTAAAAAAGGAGTACGAATGTTTTTTCTTCGCGGAGGCGACTGATTTCGGTAACTTGGCGAAGATTGAAACCCGAATTTGATGTTACATCAGGAACAGCTCAGAGTACCCGCTAAGAAGTTAACCGGAGAACAATCTCAGGCATCGATTTTACGGTTTATTTTGATTAATCCATAGATTTTTCAACAACCCGGTTCCTTCGCCATTTCTTAGTGAACGCAAAGAGTCCTCGGAGGAAACAAATTTCGTGCTTCAATTCAATTCCTCTCCCCATTCCCCGTATGCAAGTGTAATCCGGTATATGATAAATTTCTCGTAGATTTTTGTTTCTTTCTTCAGCCAATTGCGGAGCCTCCTTATTCATGCACTGCCATGGTTTTTGCTTGCTTTTGGACCTCTCTTGGCTCTATTATTTTATATAACTTCTTTTCTTCGGTTTTTGTCAGGACCCATTTGTTTTTATTTCATTCAGATACTTGCTTTTAGTCGATCCAGATTGGTTCAGGCTGGAATTGGACTGTAACTGGGTTCGCCAGTTTAGGTAAATCGCGACCCACTTGTAGATCTTTGTGAACTATTCGCCGTGGTTGTTTTTGGTGTCTTTTTGTCCTTTCTGTTGCTTTATTTTCTTCTCCTTTCTGTTGTTTGTGGAAATCTTGTGCCGGGAGTAAGGCAAACAGTGTAGTGCTTTACTCGTGAGTTTTTCATTTACTTTCCAAAAATCACTTGGGAATTTAGGATCAATTTATTCTCCATTCTCTCTTTTTGATGCTACTTTAGAGTGTTGTTAAAGCAGCGAATTTTTATTTTTCCGAGTCTCCTGTAATTGACATGTAATGTGTGTTCGTCTGTACATTGTTTGGCGCTTATTATTTTCAGTTCGAGTATCTAAGTGGGGAAAACACTTGAATTATTAGGTTGGCGTTCAGCCTCGATTTTGATTGTTGGTTGAAATCTCGGGAAGTCTTGCAAGAGAAGTGGAAATGACTGAAGATTAGGGGGAATGGTCCTGGAATTGATGCAACAAAATGAGCCGGTCCCCTTCATTTTCTATGAAATCGGATGTTAATGTGAAGTTGGATCCAGAGTCTCTCCAAAAATGGGTTGTTGCCTTTTGCATCATTAGGTTTGATCTCGAACAGGGTCAACTCATTGAGGAGTGCTACCCTCCAGGCTGTCTTACGCAAGATGAGGAACTTGAAATTGCATTTAGTTCGTTTCCTGATTCAGTTTCGCAGCACCAGAATCGGTCAAGCATTCATGATTGTATATTCTTTTTCCGGCTTCGAAGGAAGGAAATTTCTCAACCAAGAAAAGTTTCTAATTCTGAGATAACTGAAGTGGACGAGTTATTACAGACTACCAATGACTCAAAACTTCCAAGATCAAAAAGCAGCCTTGCTAACAAGTCTAAGTATATGTATGGTTTTGTTTTTAATAGGGAGAGACACGATGAGAGGCTAAGAAGGGGTGGAGAACAAAAATCCGTCGTAATATTGTCACATAGTCCTTATTCTACCGTCTTTAAACCTCTGTTGCAAATCATGGGTCCGTTATATTTTGACATTGGGAGGAGGGCTCTTGAGCATATTGCTGCTTATGTTTCAATGTGGCCTGCTCCTGTACCCGGTAAACAAATGGAGCTTCCTATTGGAAATGCCTTGCTTAAAGCGCACTTGCCACCTGCCCATAGTTTGCCAATGGATAGCGAGACATTTTCTGAAGAGTCTACGTCCTCCATGGCTCCTTTTCTTCCCAATAATCAGTCTGTTCCACAGGGCCTTTTCCATGATTCTGATCTCTTTGGTACATTCAGGGGTCTCCTTTTGCAGCTCTGGGTGTTGTGGGAGTTGCAGATTATTGGTGAGCCCATCCTTATCATTGCACCATCGCCTCCCCAGTGTTGTGAAGCTGTTGCTAGTCTTGTTAGCTTGGTTGCTCCACTTCTTTGTAGTGTTGATTTTAGGCCTTATTTCACCATTCATGACCCTGCGTTTTCACACTTGAACTCACTTCAGGATGGAGCTACATTCCCACCAATGATTTTGGGGGTGACAAACCTCTTCTTCCTTAAAGCCCTTCGAAATATTCCCCATGTTGTCTCAGTCGGAAACCCTGCTGTTAATCGGCTTGCCCAGACATCGAGGTCCTCTTCTGGCAGAGTTGGCACTCCTGAAGGGTTTGGTTTTCGGCAGCTGTCATTGAAAAAATTCTCTCCGTCAAACTTTCTAAGTGCTGTCAAGTTGAGGAGAGATGGTCCCCTGTGCCTCATGACAGAACATAAGGAAGCCATCTGGAGCACTTACCCTGCAGCAACAAAGCCGGACACATCTATCTTGAATCGGCTTATTGATGCCGGCTTATCACCAAGGGTTGAGGAGTCTATGTCTGTTGTTAACAACGAGATACTGCGCCGGCACTTCCTGGAACTTACCACCAACTTTTTGGCGCCTTTTGGGCCGTACTTTCGGCCTACCACCCCGTCAGAAGGATCTTCTCCGTTTGATGAGCCTCCTCGCCCTCAATTTAGTGCTGATGAATTTCTTGCCAATCTATCAACAAGAGGACCAGGAAAATTTCTGGCTAAGCGAATGAAATCTAATTGGCTGGACTTGTACAGGTAATGTGGGTATTACATACATATGCCGTTCTATTGTATTCTTCTGTTCCATAGTAAGTAATTCATCACCCTTTAATAATAGTTTTATTGAATTTCGTTATCATATTATCAATTGACCTGTTAATTGTTAAACTATTCCTTCCAGGCGGTTTCTCAAAGGACCAAACTTTATGCCTTGGTTTCAGAGAAGGCGTGCCGTTGCAGAACAAGAACAACATAGACTATGGAGGCAAGCAAGAATGAATACTGATGTACTGCGGCTTATATCTAAAATGCCCGAATTGGAAGTCATCGATTTATTTAATGCTATTGAAAGACATCTACTTCGAGAAATGGAGGTACTTACCCAAAAAATTCCTTGCTCACTCTTTTGGTTCCAAAGAAATCTTTATTGGTTTCCAGTTACAATTTTAATATTTTGAAAGGTAAGGACTTGTTTTGAGGAGGCTTAGACTTTTTTTTTTGTGGATTTTTGATCCCTCTGGAAGACCATAGGAATCTACCCGAGTTAAAAATTTTAAATGTGGTTTTAGAGGACCTTTTGGGCTTGATGATTAATGAGATGATCATGAAAGCAGAGACTTTTTATACCATCGTACAATTTATAGGAATATGTTGTAGCCTCGTAGAGAACCATATTCATAAGGAGCATATGTAGCAATGAAGAATTAAGAATTACAAGAAGAGGGAAGGCTAGGAGTCGATCACAACCTTAGGCCAGGGAAATCATAAAAAGCATCTCCAAGTAATCAAACTAGAGAAGGTAGAATATTACAAAAACCTTAAGTATTTATTCCAAAGAGACTTTCAGCTGAAGACATTCCAAACCTAATCTTGCCTCTCTCCTAGTCCTATCCTTCTCAGATCTTTATTTTTAGCTTCTGAGAATTTTAGACACGGGGTGTCTTGCCCCATTGCCAATCCTCAGAAAGATGGCAACAGCAACTACCACCTGGATAATTTTCACATCTTTGAGATTGGGAAATGTCAGCGTGAGGTATTTTTTCTGATACGAAATGAGAGAAATATGTACTAAAAGCACAGCAAACAGAATGACCTATCGGCAATGGGGCAAGACATCCCCATGTCTAAGAGGAGGACTCAAACAAAAGGCCTAAAAAATCCAAGTTGATAATCGAGTGTAGAGAAGTTACAAAAAGACTTGTATAAAGCACTCTAATTTGAGGTTGTAAATTCTACAAGACCACAAGACTTATCAAAAGAATTTGACTTATATGAAATAATTATAGTGTTTCTTTCCTTCCGAAGGAGCCAAAGGAAAACTCTCGAGGTATTTGTCTATAACACTCTTGCTTTTTTTTCAAACCACCACCTCCAAAGACACTTGATATCCAATCCTCAAAAGACTTGGGAGGACAGCAAATAAGGCAAAATGGTGGCCAGCCCTTCAAAGCTAACAACAAATGGATCAACAGATGGTTCAGCGACTATTCACTGTTCAAAGACATGGAGTCAGAGACAAGTGGATATGTGGATTTTCTTCTCTTTGAACTGTGTTAAGAGTGTTGGTACTTGAAAAATTTTGTTTTTGGATTTTTGCCTTCCTAAATCAGATTGTTAAGGTTGGGGTCCAGGATTCTTTTCTCATTTTGGATAGCCATGGCCCATGATGGAAGACTTTTAAGTGAAGGCCCCTGTGTTGTCAACGTTAGATATTCTTGTACCACCCAAGGGGAGACCTAATTCAACTGAAGACATACCAGATTTTCTCCAAAAGACTTCTAGTAAACAGACATTGAGCAAAGAGAGGGTAGGGTTGACATATCCCTCCAAGTCTTTCCCAAAGAGCATATCACTGAAGACTGACGATTGATTTTAACAATCCTGGTTCAGCATTCCCTTGCCAGTTTGTCAGTTATCCACCTTAGCATATGGTAGTTGGTACTAGAATAAAGAATGCTTATGAAAAATAAATTGGAATTTAGACGTATCATGGCATTCTCAATATATCTGATGCTTTTCCTTATAAACATATTGGCATAATATCAGATATTAGAATTGGGAGGAAAATTGTGGAGCAAGAATGGTTGCTATTTTTTCTCTCTCTCTGGTTTTACCCCTCTTTTCTTCTATCTTCTTTATATTAGTCTCTTCCCAGACCTTTTTTCAGTTGAAATCTTTTGTTCTTAAGACCCACAAATGGTCTAGGGTCTAATTGCATGATCTACCTCTAATTTCTTAGCATGTATCTACCTCACATTGTAGTGATAACAGGACACAGTAAGGCAGGATACACTAATGCCTTTCGTAGTAACTACATGTGACACTGCCATATCTCTGTGAGGACTGTGCAGAATAACTTAATACATCTATTTGGAAGAAATATTTGAATATAATTATGAACTTCTCATCATGTGCATTATGAAGACATCTAGTTTAAGCACCAGCAAACAGCTTCTAATGATAAACTTTCATTCTTTATTGGTTTCTATGTTACAAGCTTATAGACCTAATGAACTATAGACATAAGGACAATGTGTCATCTTCTGAAAAATTGGTTATAGTGCAACATAAATATGTTTATGATAGGCCTCCAAGTACTAAGGTGTATAGAAAGAGAGGTAGTAAGACATAGTGGGCAGCGAGCGTATATGGGTCTGCCTTTGGGCCCAAATTAGTTACGGTTGGGTTATTTTGGGAATGTGTTGGGATGTACATAGTAGTACATTGAAAGAGGGAGGTGTATCTTTTTTCTAGTATCTGATTGTGAGATAGGATGTGGTAGAGGTAGGGAGCTCTTAAGATCTCCCTGGCCCCTTGTAATCCTCTCTATCAGTTTGTTGGGATGTATAATATATGTTCAAAATGTTAATTGGTAGCAGAAAATAATGTATTTGATTTATGATATCTTCATCTAAAATTCAATGTGCAAGAAGAGATAAAATATGGAATGCTTGCAAGAATTTGAAATAAATTGAATATTTCTAATTATGTGATGTCTTACAGCAAAACATTTTTAGGGAATTTAGGATCATATCTTCGTTTTTAAACGATTCATTATCTTAGGATAAAAGAAAACTCACGATCGAATGTATCGGTTGAAAATTGTGCTTTACAAACAACGAAACAAGTCAATGGTTATCAAATTTAATACATCATATCAACAAGTTTTTTGTTTTTTTTTTTTTTGTTTTTTTCCGTTTGTTTGTTATAACCACATCTTTGATATTAGAATAGAAGTGCATGTACAGATGTCTAGCAAGTCTTTTTTTTCCAACACTTGCACTATAATAACACTTAACCTTGACTTTGAGCGTCGAAATGGCCAGTGTTGGAAGGACATGGGAACATCCAAGGAAAGAAAATAACTATAGATTCCCCTAATTGAAGGTTTAAAATCATACTACATCCAATATGCAATTATATTTTGAAATCATTTCAGAACTGTAATACCTAAACTGCACCTTCCTCAGTCGTGTACATTATATAGGATAATAAACCTACTTGTTTTTCTATATTCCATAGATATGGAAGTATTTTCTTCTAAACATCTAGCATATTGTTTGCTCGTCTGTTGATGTTCTTTTTCCTTTCATGTTTAATACCTTGATCTATTTTTTAGCTGATATGTGGAAAGATTATTAATGATGAAATTGACTATGGGACATTTTATTTACAACGTTGCATTTCTTGTTTGGGGCGGGCGCGGGTGCCCCTGGTATAGAGGAGCAAAGCTCGGACTCCCAGTTATTTAAAAAAAAAAAACATTGCAGTTATTGTTCTTGCTTTACTTAAGTCATTTCTTAGTGTTCTAAGTGGCACCGAAAAGATTTATAAACCCGCAAAAAAGTGTTCAGCTGATGAGCTTTTGTGCACTCGTGAGCCACTTCAATGAAAATTATGAAGTCCAGGTCTAGATAATATAGGTTACAAAAAACAGGAGGAAGGCCAACCCTCAAGCTTTGGAAAATTTTAGTGGATGGATCATTTAAACTATAGTTGCTGAAGGGGACATAATTTACACCATGAGAGAGCCACGAAAGACAAGTTATAGGGCCTTTTGATTACAAGACAATCCTTCACCCATCAAGATCATCCTATTTTTCACTTGAAAAAACAGTATATGATGCATCCACACTACAAGCTTTTTCTTCTTTATTGTTTATAAGAGGTTTCTGCAGCCATATATTTATGTTTGAAACCCCATTCTTCAGCTGCAGGAATCTAGAAGGGCTTATGCTGACTCTGTGGCAACTTGCCAGAAACTGAAAGGCGATCTGCTGACTGTTTTTAATGTGCTTCCAAAGGACATGCAACAGCTTCTGCTTCTTAATCCACAAAGGGCATCTCTTCTCCGTGCAAGCCCGGAATTAACGAAACTTCCGGGGCGTCCGCTTGTACAAGTTGGTGTTGTATCTTCCATTTCACCAAGATAGTACTGAATACATGTTACGAGTCAAGTAGCCTCAGACAAAGTGGTTTCCTTCTGATTTTTAGAGGCAGCACTCACCGGATTGTTCCCTTCATAACTGGATTGGGAGGTTTAATCTGATTGTGGCTGCTGCAATTGTTTTAGTAGGTACCATCTTGGACCTTTCCTAATCTTTATTTTGGATTTATCCTAACAAAGGTTGATGAATGATATGGTATATCCTGTTTTTAAGTACAAGTGTAATGTTTCTACAAACAAACAGATGGACAGAGGATGGTACATTATCTCGACGGTGTAACGTTTTAGTTACCCAACTCGGGACAATATCTGCAATGTACAATGAACTTGTGGATTGACGAAAATTCATTTGGGAGACGATAGTTAGTTTTTTCCTAGAATTTCAAATTTTGTACCGTCTTCATAACTTCAAAGGGAGCATAATGGCAACTTGTAGTATGTAACTTGTATTCTTGTACTGAGTCAGATATATGGCTTTTATTATGTAGATGTAAAGTTAAAGCAAATAGTTTCAGCTCCAAAAACCTGAGTCTGTTGCCAGAGATGGTGAGATTTCTTCAAGTGTTATGAATTTTATTACTCTTTCGAAGGAATGTTCAATTTATTTCTTCAGTTGGTTTTAAAATAAAAACCTTTTGAGTTGAATCAAATCAATAAGAATTTCTTTTCCAAAATAATAATAATAATCAATCCATCAATCAATCAGTCAATGAGAACTTATTGTTAAATTTTAATAAAATATCTATATTATTCATGATAATTTTCTTTGAACAGTTATTCATGAAAAAATTAATGCACATATTTATCTTGATTATAGTTTATTCAATAATTATTTTTTGATCTTACTCCATCAATTTTTACACAATGGTGACTTCTCATAAAAAAATTGACATTAAATTATTAATTTTAATTAAATGAGTAAATAGATACTCAAGAAACTACACTTTTTATGTTTTTAACAAAAAAAAAAAAAAGTTGAACAATTGATCCAATTAACCAAAACAAACTCGAACAAAATAATTTTTTTGATTCACGACATTGTGTAGATCGGAGAAAATTACAATCTGAACAATTGGGATTGTATTTAAAAACTATATCATCCCAATCCGAATATTTCTTTAAAAGGCATTAAAATCAAGAAATTTATAAGAAACAGTTCAATTAAAAAAAAAGGTATTTTGTGATTTTTACATTACTTTATTAACATTTTTACGTTATGAAAATATCGATCAATCCTTTGCACATAAAAATCTCAACGTTTTTTTTTTGGATAAGATAAAAATCTCAACGTTGATAGCCACCAAATATGTAACATCAATAACTATAAACATGGTTAATATGACGAATTAATTGAACAATATTTCTCTAGAGTAGAATTAAATGGAAATTTGGAATGAAACTCATGGATGCATATTTGCTTTAAAATAAAAATACCAAAATTAGTAAAATCTCGTTCCAAAGACGAGGCTTAATATTCTTGTCTAAAGTCGGCTGAGTTCTCTTTTTACTTTAAAAACTGTGGAGCTGTGGATCTGACTATCATCGCCAACCTTTTAGACGATGTAGGATCGATGAACTTGCAGATGTTCAGACAAAATTATAAAACAGATATAGGTGAAGATCAAAGGGCATAGAAGAACTAAGAGATCATTGAAGAAAATTTTGTGAAAAGAGAAACCCAATGTTTTCATTAGAAAACAAATAAAAAGAGTACCTAAATGAATATTCAGCTCAACAAACAGATCCCCAGTTTTGCAGAGAAACACTGACATCAAGCATGATTAAGCAACAAATAATGATCCAGAAATTTAGCAACTCAAATAGATTATATAACATTCTGTTCAATATTCAACCTTAACTTTAAAGGCCATTTCCAAAATGGGTAGAACGAAAACAGCCGCATGCTAGAAGACTATATGATAAAGGGATAAGATTGAGTAAGGGCAACCCTGAAATTGAAAACTGGGATCATAACAGTATCAGAATCCCATCAACGCAATCTCCTAGCTTCTCTCTCAGACTCCAGCAGGGTCAGAATATCGCCTTCCCTCACTGGTCCCTTCACATTCCTCATGATGTAACGATTTTGATCATCAAGAAACTTGACTCTAACTTGAGTTACCTGCCCCCTAGATCCGGTTCTACCCATTACTTTCACCACCACAGCATGTTTAATCTGAGATTCCATCCTACACAGACCCACCAAAAGTATATCTTACAATCACAGCAAAGCAGGCACTTTCCCTTAAAATTACACTTCTGATACTGAGTAGCAATCTACCATTACTTGTACAAGTTATTTAGCCCCAATTTCCCAGTTCAACAATCTCAAGTGCCTTTTAAGTTACATGAACAAGCAAACTAGTACCGACAGCAAAGCTACAGAATAACTCAGTCTAAGAAGCGCCTAACATTCAGAATCACAGGTAAAGAAAGAAAGCTATATAATTCCAATTACTGGAAATTTTTGAACGGAGGCCCTTCGAATAAGAGCTTTATGAACCAATTCAACTAGGCAACTCAATCCAACCCGAACAGGGATCTCAAAAATTTTCCTAAAACTCAAGTAGACCAAAAATCAGGCAATCAAGTTCATAGAATGGGAGCAATGCCCCTTTAATTCTTCATGCATAAACCGGAAAATGACAGACCAAAATACAGACATTTTTTCTGGATTTGAGTTAATTCTCTCTGAAACAAAATGTACCTCGAGGCGAAGACGAGAGAGACTGGCGGCGGACGAACGGCAAACGACGACAGACGGCGGCGACGGGCTGAGAGGCAAGAGAGCGAGGTGAGATTGAGAGTTCTGTGAGGCGCGAGATGAGATCGGAGGCAACCCTAGACATAAAACATTTATAAATATATATATATTATATTCGGTTCGGTTCGGTCGAGATTTTTATTAAACCCGTGAATCGTCCTAAACTTCGTAACTCAATTTGGGTTGGGTTGATCGGTTCAAGTGATCTAATAACACGAAGATTTTTCTGAGGAGGGACAAAAATGAAATCAATGATCAAAAGGTTAATCGACAATACATTAAAACAATGCAGCTGATTCAAAACTATCTCAAAAAGAAATTTCGTCAACAATGAATAGTCGAAAGTGGAGCTTATTGGGAATCCTTGGTATAAGATAATTTTCAAAATCCAATCTTTTAATCTGCTTTGATTTGGCAATCAGCTCTGTGAGGGGCATGAAATCATTGAACTTCAACAACTTTGGCAACAATTCTATAAGTGGATGTTGTTACAACTCTTCTTTCTTTCAAATAGGCACATCAAGTTCTCCTTCACACAACCTAATCGAATCCAGCTTAAAAAGTCTCAAAGTTCCGAGAAAATTTTATTTCTTCTCAAACAATTGACTAGAATCATTTTTACTTATTCCAAAATCACTTGACTAGAATCATTTTTACTTATTCCAAAATCACTTTAGTTTTAAAATATAATGTTTAACCAGAATTCGTAATTGATTTTAGAAAAATTTTCAGTGATTTCCGATCAATCACTTGAAGGTGATTCTCAAAGTGATTTTTTAACGAAAAAATTAATAGAAAATTAGTTTTTAAAATAGTTTTTGTTTTAATTTTCAAAATTATCTTTCCATTCCCTTTATTTTCACGTTAAATTTTGAGATTTTTTTTTCTCTTTTCTAAAATTGTTGTCACTCTCCAACTTTATTTATTTTTAATTTTGTTTATTCTCTCTTTTTTTTCCTAAAATTTCCGTAATCCCACTCCAAATTTTTAGCTCACTTTCTAAAATCTCTCTCTCCAAATTTTTAGCTCACTTTCTAAAATCTCTCTCTAAGGTTTGTATGTTTAGCTTTTCTCTCTCTAAAATATTTTGTCAAATTCTCTTTAAACTTCAAATATTAATAATTTAGAATCACTTTCAATTATATAAAAATCACTTGAAAAAATGTGTAGTCAAACGTTAAAATAACTATATAAAAATAATTTTCACAAAATCAGATATCAGTACTAATCACTCATTCTAAAATCATACTCAAACAAGTCCCTAATCTCCACCCACTAATGATTCTCAAATAAACATTTGAATCCACTTAAAAGATCCACTTATACGATAAAAGTAACCATAAATATTTTACTAGCAAAAGACACAAGTTTCACCACCTAAATGACATCTTTAAAGTGATCTTCAACCTTCGTAAAATCAATTTTTTAATTTGCCAAATATGATCGATAGAAAGTGTAGTGATTTTAACAATGGAAAAGTAATAGTGACATAATCAAAATCACTCTCAAACACATCCTAAATGTATTTCTCCGATCAAATTCTAAAGCCTGGACTAAGCAGGCCTCTCTCACTCCTCTCTTTCTCTCACTATCACAGAGGTGGACGCGATCCTTAGAATACTTTTGTGGTACAGTTTTGGGGTCAAAAACTGGAAGTGCAGAATCGACCACGTATACTTATAGAGAGAGAGAGAAATAGACATCCCCATTTACACAACACTGACCCATAACAAACGGTGGCTGTGGCTGTGGCTGCCACCCAATTCCTGATATAATAAACTCAACAAAACAAAACCATCTGACCAAAAAAAAAAGGGTAAAGAAAGCATTGGTAAAATAAGATTTCATATGTTCATAATAGCGCAATTGGAATGGCAAAAGCAAAACCCAGTTGGTATAAGAGTGATTTTGAGCCTTTTTTCTTGGAAATTGCTTCTGGTTTTGGTTTCTCTGCTGAAGATTCATCTATAATCTTAAACCTGGAGGCACAGACCAAATGGAACTTTGACCCCTTCTTCTCAGGGCCTCTCTACTGATGATGACATCAGTTTTACTACGCAGAGAGTGAGAGAGAGAGCTTGGGATGAGTGAGAAAAGTTACTGTTCATTGTTCAATGTGTTGTTTTTTTGAAGATTCTCTGCACCTATGCTTCCCCTAATTTCTCACTACCTACTCTATGATTGCTGATGTCTGGCCAAAAAGTCTCTCTCTCCCTCTCTCTCTAAAGTTTCTACAAGTATGATTATTGATGGGGTATGAAGATGACAAACAACATGTCATTTCAACCCCCAAAAAGTGGTCCTCTTTTAATTGATAGTTTCACCACTCACCTCCTTCCTTGCCCTACGCCACATTCACTCTCCTCTTTCCTCTTATCTTTTGGCCAAACGCCCAGGCTCTTCCCCAGAAAACTAAACAATTCGGCATGATTTGATCCATAAACCATCCCACCATTTCTACTCCTAATTTATCTGAGTTTACTGACATCACTGCACCATGTCTACTGGATCAGCTGCCTGGACCAAGGAAGAAGATAAAGCATTTGAAAACGCCATAGCTATGCATTGGGCTGAAGAATTGGAAGGGAAGGACTCGGAAGGGATGTGGGAAAAGATTGCTTCAATGGTTCCAAGCAAAGACATGGAAGCCTTAAAGCAGCACTTCCAAATGCTGGTGGAAGACGTGGGTGCCATTGAGGCAGGCCAAATTCCTATTCCCAACTATGCTTCTGTCGGAGGAGCAACTAATGGCTCAACCAAGGAAAAGGAACATCTTCATCCTCATGGAGCTACTGGTACTGACAGTAATAATAAAAGACCCAATTCTGGTTTTGGAAGTGGATTTTCTGGTCTCTCCCACGACTCCAAGGGCGGATCCAGGTCCGAGCAAGAAAGAAGAAAAGGGATCCCATGGACAGAGGAAGAACACAGGTTTGTGTATTTCAAACAACTTCTGTCCTGGAATTACTTCAAATATTGGGTCATTGAGAGCTATAATTTATCAATTAGATCAGAAAAGGCGAAAGTGTATCAGTATTCTTCTATTGTTTGTGATATAGACTAAGAAAGGAATCATTCTACCCCATTAATACAGAGATTCATTATCCAGAACAGAATTGAGAGAGATTCTTAACTCTTGCTATTCTCAGGTTATTTCTACTGGGCCTCGACAAGTTTGGGAAAGGGGATTGGAGAAGCATTTCAAGAAACTTCGTTATATCCAGGACACCGACACAAGTAGCCAGTCATGCACAAAAGTATTTCATTCGATTGAACTCAATGAACAGAGATAGAAGAAGGTCGAGTATTCATGATATCACCTCAGTCAACAATGGCAGTGGCGACGTCATGACCCATCAAGCTCCAATCACCGGCCACCAGACGAACGGCACAAACCAGGGCAATCCGCCAGCTTTAGGGCCCCCGGGAAAGCACCGGCCTCAGCAGCATCTGCCAGGAATAGGAATGTACGGGGCGCCAATTGGGCATCCAGTGGCGGCTCCTCCGGGGCACATGGCGTCTGCAGTTGGCACTCCGGTGATGCTTCCTCATGGAATGCATCCCCATCCTCCTTACGTTATGCCAGTTGCTTATCCAATGGCGCCTCCACCAATGCACCAATGACAATTCTTTCTTCATTTTTCCCCCTTTCTGTAGTCAGATTTTAGGATTCATGGGTCAAAAGTAAGAAAATTCAGGCATAACAAAGGAGAGCAAAGGGAAAGTTCACTTTTTAACTTTCCTATTCATTTATGATCCATCCAATCATGTCGTGAAGAGAATATACCCATATAGAGAGATCTGATAAGTGGCATTTTTTCAGCATTTTAAGGACAAATATGAATATGGAACCCATTTGCATTTTCACCCATGTTTGCGACAGCCTAACTGCAGTGAAAATATGATCAAGAGCTCTAAGAATCCATTAACTTTATTTTTTAATAAACATCTCTGTATTTGAATAAGAAAAAGCCTGCGAAGCAAAAGCCACAAAGGGCATTCACCAACAAATTAAAGAAATTAATTGGAGGCGGGGGAATTATATATACTCGCAAGTTTTGGAACGCCCTGCTACAAGAAAATGCAGGGAATGTAATAGTAATAAACTCAAACAGCTTCAAAATTTTAAGGGCAAAGCCCAGTTGTTAAAAAGGATCCAAAAACTACCTACACAAACCAGACATTTTTCGGCTTTTTTTTTACCACTAAATAAATTAACAATTTAAGATCTCGGCTGCCTGTAATTTCCAAACTTTCGAGAGACTGCAGCATCAGATAACGTATCCCACACCTGCAAAATAACAGGTAGTTTATTAAAAACCATTTATAGTTGCAAATATTTCAGAAACCAATTCAAGAACAAGATGATAGTGAATATATATAAAGTAGTGTCTGCTCACTTCCAGTTTGCCCTTGGAGCCTCCTATAGCCAGCAAAAAGGGGCAGTCTTCTGAGAAGGAAACCGAAAACACAGCTCCCTGAGACAGTTGAAACACGACAAAAGGATTATTTAAGTCTCGAATGTGCTCATATTATAAAATTAAACCATGGAAATCACAATACTCACTGCTTTAGGATTTGTGGATGCGACACATGAAGGTTCATTATTGGACAAGTCCCATAACTTAACCTGCACAAGACATTGGCAGTAATAACATACCTTTCTTATATTATCTCCTGAGCATTTATAAGCAATATAAAGGGATTATGAGTTACCATTTTGTCAGTGGATCCAGTTGCAAGTAGCTGGAGAAGAGTACAGACATACAGAAGTTAGTGATCAGACAAACTGGTAACAACATGGGAGAGGAGAGGAGAGGAGAGGAGGGAGGAGTTGAGCAAGAAACAGAATAATATGAGCTGCAAGTACATTAGGTGCCAAAGGATTGTAAGAAACTGAGCACACAGCTTTCTCGTGCGCATGGAGAGTAAAACTTGCTTTTGATTCAGAACTAGTCTCTGTGGTGGCATTCCGGATATCAAAACATTTCACTGTTCCATCCTCTAGACTCACCTGCACAAAATCTTATAAATCAAAATAGTGCAGCTTATAAATACTTCAGAAAATGAATTCGCTGAATAAAATAATAGTACTCCATGGAACCAACTAAACAAATTCAGATCAAATCAATGTGTGAACTGTGAAGCCATGAAAGAGAATCTTGAAAACCAGATTTGTGCAAGAAGCAGGAATACACACCACAAACATGTGCTCTGTATGCGGATCCCATGCCAAGTTCTCCACATCTGCTGTAACAAGCCACTTGTAACCTGAATGGGAAGGATTTCTCCCATCTTTCTGAAATTACATAAAAACGTTAAACCAGAAATTTCAAGCTACGAAGAGAAATCATAAAACTAAAAAAATTAAACATGAAGATTAACTCGTGTCCAAAAAAATAAAAGATTAAACAGCATCACCGTAATCCTACTAAAAATTGCAGAAAACTCGGTAGGAAACATCATTACCAAAACTACTGAATGATCAAAAGATCCACTAAGGAGAACTTGTGGCGAATGATGATTCCAAGCGACGGCTTGAACCTGGAAAGTATAGTATAGTAAGAAAAACATCATATTTAGCACCAATTTGAAAAGTGGATGTTAATCTATATTGGTAAACTCATATAGCTTGGTGTCTTCACAACATTCACTAGCTAAACCACCCTCGTCATGAAATTTTTCCAACCTAACATTGATATCATATAATGACAAAATATAAGACAATAGAAAAGTTGAAAGGGGTCAAGTCTGAGGGGGCAGTTAAAATAAATCTCAAAGCTCTCGAGAGGCTTGGAATTTCTCCCAATAAGAGTTTTTTTTTTCCTTTTAAGTTTTAACAAAAAAAGTAACAATTAATTTTCTCCCAATGAGAGCTCAACTCCAGTTTACCAAAGATTTGCTTACCTGACCCAACGCCCAGGCTAATGGCTTTTCAAACACAAAGACCTTACTAAACTTCTAAGAATATTACTTGATGAATACAACTGATATTTTTACCTTGTCTGTGTGATGCTGCATGTTTATATCACATTGTCCAGTAGATACGTCCCAAATCTTGACTTGCTTGTCAGCACTTGCACTAGCAAGTATATTCCTGTTTGTAATAGGGAAAATTATCAGTGAATCATGATGCACTTAAACATCTTCTTGAAACAACTAACATAAACACACAAACAGTAATGAAAAAATGTCAACAGACCTATATTCCTTATTCCAAGCCAGTCCAAGTACTGAATCCGTGTGACTGTTCTCTTTGTATGTAATTATGGTCTAACAAAACAAGGTATAGAGTTGGTAAAAACCTAAAAGAACGGCTCGAAATTTTAACCTTAAGAGACTATGAATTTTAAACATAGTTACACTAGGATGGAAGTGAAGTGGGTCAACAATTTCAGATGAACTTATTGAAATGGGAAAATTGAAAGAGCTTAAACTAGAAAGCAATCAGCTTACTTTCTTTCCTTTCTTCTTCTTCTTCTTCTCAGCAATTCCACCTAATACCACAGATGGTTGCACCTCGTCAATCTAGACAAACATAAAGATGAGAAATTATACACCGTATTTGTTACAAAATGTAGAATCTGTCGCATAAAGTTTAGATAAGCATACAATGTCAAGGTCCCATATCTCAATGGAAGGCTCCATTGAACCAACTGCAATAAAGTTTCCTGGCAGCAAGTGGATAGAGAAGTCAACAAAAATAGCTGAATTATGTGTAAAATTAAGGTTCTTGCTGGCAGCAATAATCCAAAAAAAAAAAAAAAACCTCCCAAATAGATAACCTAACCACATTCGAGTTCTAAATTAACCCCCAACAAAAATTATACAATCAATAAGAATTTCTGTTCCCCGACCAAGCAGCACAGAAGTACTCTTCAAACCCACTTGTCTAAACTGTCAGATCAATTGGCAAAGATTTTATCAATAACAAATTTCCATAATACAAAAAAGAATTAATGAAAACATAATACCTCTTTCTCCACCTTTCAGAGGACAATCTAGCCAAGCTGTGCAAAGAGGAAATGCAGGAATAATTATCTCATGGTGAATATACAAGTTTGGTTCACCTGCACCATATCCTTCATATATCCGAACCTGCTTAAAAATTAATCACTGGTAAGTGCCACTAAAACAAATTTTCCTCAATTTCACTTATCACTGTCCTTCTCTAGAGGGTTTGGTTTGATGAATAGATATTAGTTCTAGTCTACCACATGCCTGGAGAACACTGACGTCATCTTCATTACATGCACAAACTATAACTGCGTCTGTTGGTTTGATGGTCTCATCCTCATCTTCAGAGTCATCATCCTATAATAGTAACGAATACATATCACAACATAGCGAACATAAAGCAGACAAATATTAATGTTCAATAAATAACTTACGTCCTTATCCTTGAGATATGGGTCCATATCATTACTTGGGTAGTAAAGGTCTCCAACTCCAGAGGTAAATAACTCAATTTCTGAAGTAAACCACAATAAGGTATAGCCTCAGTGACGCACCCAACGAAAGATAAATTGCAATGAAGCGATAGATAGTGAAATTAGTCATGAAGTGTCATAATCCAGCTGCAATTTTATGCATCGCATGAAAGCAGCATGACCCTAACAATCACCTCAATATAAAATTAACGAAAACTAATATCATAAAAGAAGCAGTAGGGGTAGTTAAACCAGAGGATGAGTATACCATCATCTTCATCATCATAATTGTCCATGTCGAGTTCCTTCAAACCATCAGCGATATCATCATATTTGGTTTCTGACTTTGTGCTTTCAGACGATTTTCCAAGTGCTTGTGCGACAGCAAGTGCATTGGCAATCTCTTCATCCTTGGAGTCATCAACATCCATGCCTTTGTCCTCTACTGCATCATCAATCTCATCATCGCTATGTTTGCTGCAGAGACCAAAACACAGAACCACTTTCGTCACCAACTACAAATTCCTCGACACGGGTCCATATCATGAAATAAACGCATGGTCGTAATGAACTATCAAGGACAACATTTTGCGATAACACGTCTAAGGTAAGCTAGACTTCCATGCCAGCATTATTTCAACGTTGCCAATAAAGCAAATATGGACATTTAAAAGCGTTCTGACATAGAACGGAAAGGCTCTAAGAGTTCTCGGAAGACCGATTACTACCCGAAACTCAAGCACGAAGTCTTCTTCTTCTTCGTTTCTTTTCTTTAAACTGTTATTGTTGTTTTAATTCTGTAAACAGACGGTATATTCTCGTCCAACTCAAATCACCAAAACAACTAAATTGATCCTACTCGAAGCAGGTTAAAGGTCAGAAGGCCTAAAATGCTCCAAGTGACCCCCGAAAAAATAGAGAGAGAAAATTATGCAAAAGAACAATCTGAAACAGAACTAGAATTAATCAATTTTCCGTTCACCTGGACTCCTCCAAGACATCCTTGCTCTTGAGGATTTCATCAATAGTCTCCTTGGAAGGGGGGTCGGCCACGACTGGAAGAGGCTTACAAACCCCTTTTGGAACCCAGGAAATCGTTGATATCATTTTCTCTTCTCCCTGTTCGCTGCAGCACTTCGATTCGATCAGTTGCAGTAACAATCTAGGCAACAAAGGCTTGAGTTCTGTTATTGAGGCAACAGAAACGAACGAGTTTCTTGTCCCGCAATCGATTGAACAGCTCTAGCTCGACCCAAACTGATGGTCTGATAAGACCAACAAGGCAAAAGCTGCCGGAATCTTCCTCACTTCTTAATGTAGAAGTTCGTAGGAAGATTTAGGGGTAAGTAAAATGAAGCGATAGTTCACAACAATGGCGGCCGAATATGAGAGTAGGAGAAAGAGAAGGCAAACCAGAAAGAGGGAGCGAAGGGGAAGAGCGAAAACTCGATGCTGATGGTGGCGGGTATAGGGCAAAGGCAGGGCAAAACGAGTTTTCGTGGTATTTTGGGAACTTCAAATATGGGGAGGGTAAAAATGGAAACCCACCCCTTTTTGTTATTATATTTTTTTATTTTTAGCATAAGTATATGGTTCAAACTTTCGCTAACCTTACTTTCTAATAACAATTTAATATTGTTCTCAAAAAAAAAAACAAATTAATCTTAATATAGTTCATATTATTGCAATCAAATCACGTTTCTAGACAAATATTTTTGTAATTTAGATATCCTATCTTCACTCTGTAACATTTTAATATAAATATTTATTAATGTTCCTTATGAAAATAAAAGTATTTTAGAAAAAATCATTATTCCACCTCATCACAATCTCGTTATTCTTATTTGTCTATGTGAAAGCCTCTTGGTTGTTGCTCAAAACTTTGCATTACTATTTTTTTTCTTTTAGTACAACAAATTGGGGGTATTGAGGTTTGAAACTCTCACATTTGAGTTGTCTCTCCTTTTCTTTCGATCGACACACTCGATACATATAGGTTTCGATGGCCCTATACTTTCCTTTTACATGAACTGGTCGGAATCGATAGAATGACCATTCGTTGCAGTCGTAGGCAAACGAACCTCAACAATAATTATAATTTTTTGAGAATACATAATAAAGCCAATATAAGACACTCCTTGAAGGTTGAAATAGATTCTCTTTATTTATTTCACAAGATTCTTCGCTCCAATATGTACATATGATTTTATAACGATACTATCTCAGTTTCACCATAGTTTTAAAACATCGATAGACAAAGATTTATATTAGAAAAAAAAAGGAATTCATTTAAATTAAGTACCATTGCAATACATAACCATGTGGTGCCAGATAGTTATTTTGAGATGAAATAAACAAAAATATTTTAATCCTAGATTAGCCCATGAGTTTCTATACAAATCATTTTCATCTCTAAACTTCCAAATATTATATTTGAGTTCCTAAGTTTGTCACAAAAACTATCATCATTAATTCTCAGTTAATCATTTTAACAAAAATCAAATCTTGTTTTTTACCCTAAACTTATTTGGTGTGATTTCAAATACTAGTCTTAAGTCTACATAAACATTTGTTCATTGGATAGACAGTGACAAACTATTGTTTTACATAAACTTAAATACAAACCATACAAATCCATATTGAAACTATTCCAAGCAACAGATTGTGTTCTGCGACTTCTGCATGTAGAGAAACACAACAAAGTTTTCAATGGAAACCCTGCAGCTGATGCAGCTAAGCCATTAGAATCAGGACATAAAAGTGATCTGCTCTGTTATAACGTGTTCTACTTCACATACAAAAATTCAATAAACAAGAAGAAGAAGAGAAACTCTCTTAAAACCAAACACACTAGGCTACAGAAGAATTCCATAAATTATCAACTGTTAAACTTGTTTCTTTATCCCGAGGTAGCTAAATAAGTCAAGCTTCACATGCCAATAGAGCTTAGCTCATTGGCACCCGTCTCTGGCTAAAAGGTCATGAGTTTGAACCTCCTCACAAATATGATAATATCTTCCAAGTCCATCACAACTAATCTCACGCGCAACCTTACTACATTTAGTTGTCAAAGAAACTCGTAAGATTTTAAATCCTAAGTATATAACCGCCGTAATTAGAACCTGATTTGCTCTATGCCCCCTTTACTTTTTAGCGGTTGCCTTCTAAAGTTCATCATCTAAATAGTTTCTATAGTCCAAAGCATGTGATGAGTGTGATCATATCAACGCCTAGCTCATGGTATTCCTTCAACTATTAGAGTAAACAAAATCAAAATATATAGGCACAAAAGACAGTAGGCTTGACATGAATCATCTTAAATTTACATTGCAGTCCAAAGAAATGAATCATGAATCAGTAATGCAACAAAATCTCAGGCCGTTAATCAATGAAAAATTCAGAAATGAGAAACAAATTTTGCAACCTAATTCTTCTCTATTCGGCCTACACTATCTTATTGCCAAACCCACTTCTAAACGCCAGTGCCCTAATTCATCTTGTTAGGGAAACGCTTGAACCAGGCAACAAGTTATAATTAGAGTGTTCTTATGAGGTCAATTTCTAAAGCTGACGCACAAAACCACCCTCGACCTTCATTTATGGCTGTGTGTTGTAATCAGGGGATCCAGCCCCCGGGGCAGATAGGAAAAATTGTACAGACACTCACACTACTATAGCGAATCTTCAAGTTCTTTCATCTGCTCCTTCTTCTTCAGTTCTTCTTCATATTGTCTTAACCTCTCTTTCACCTTCTCCTGCATCATCCCGAAAAAACAAATCAAAACAGAAACAAAAGAGAAAAGAAACGAAATCCTCAATCAAACCTTCCAACAAAAAAAAAAACTATATCTCAGAATTGAAAGATTAAAACAAGGTCTGATTATAGAATAATGCCATTTCAGCCGAGACAATTTTTCTTTCCATCCAAGCGATTCACCCAGAATAAGTCGGAGAGATTAATTGAAACAGAAGTGATCTAACCTTATAGCCAACTTCAACGCGGTGCATTACGTAGAAGCCGAGAACGCCGCCGACGATGGTGCCGGTGATGATCCTGACATAAGCCCATTTACGATAATTGCCTACCATTTTCCCGATCTCTCAGCTCCTTTCCTTCTCGGATTTTCTGTAGAAATTGAGCAGCTTTTGGGGAGAAGGAATGCGCCGAAGATGCTGGCGGCCATGGACTGGTTATAGAAATGGATATGGACTGGACATGGTCCGACGACCCGATTTGGCTTCGGCCCGAATATTGAATAATATCTTATAATTTCTATACATACCTTTATTTGGTTACATAAAAAAGATATTTAAATTATGAGTAGCCTTAATTGATATAAATTTATATAATTTGTATACTCAAAAAAATTGTATGATTTGTGTTTGAGTTGCATATTATAAGTAATTTTTTCTTTCGGTTTTTAAAATTTGAGATTGCGATTGTAGGATGAATATGAATCTTTGACGGAAAAAAAAAATTATTGATGTTAACTGATGAATTATATTATTATTTGTAACAACTCGAAGAATGAATTTTACTACTTTATGCTCAATAAGATTGATAAATTCATAACCTCAAATAATTATGCTTTCAGAACTTTATCAATAGTAAGTAGCTCAGTAGATAAGATAACTATTATCATCGAGGTTCAATTTTCCACTTTGTAATTATTGAACTCAAACAAAAGAACAAAAAGTCTTGTCAACTTGATTATGATTCCAAACTATAGATGCCACGAGATGCTAAATTGTCCAATTATCTTAAATCAATACAACATGTCTAATTCTTCTAAATAATTATTTTCAAGTTTATCAAGAATGTCTCGTATGATTTTCGATTCTCTATCTAATTACACATATCCAACTCTCAGTTTCATTTTAACAAAGTTTAATGCATGTATTGAACAAGTGTAGCTGAATACACAAAGAGACCCAATTACATACACTCTTAATTACACCTAAAATTTTGTCAATGACAAGTATAACTCAATCTATAAGAAACTTATTACTATCACAAAAGTCGATGGTTCGATCTCCTACTCTCTAATTATCTAATACCAATTCAACACATACCTAATTCTTCTGAGGAATTATTTCCAAATTTACAAAGAATACCTCATATGGATTTCGAATTCTCTGTCTAATTACAAATAATCTTTAATTTCAGCAGAGTTCAATACATGTATTAACTATTAAGGTAGTCGGCAAACTGTTGCACTTTGACTTACTTCGATAGCTATGGCTTAAAGTTTGAAACCATAACACCAACTATATGCAGCCATTGCCTATTTGCTTTCTTCTGATGTTGTTGTGAAGGCAATTTCAGAAACCAAGGCCAAATGATCGCTGCCCACCTTCTGAAAAAGGAGGATCGATGTTATATTGGGTTGATTGTTGAGAATATTATGTGAAGCCTAGTAATGTATAGATGGATAAAAATAAACGTGGTAATTAAGACTGGTTTGATGGCTATTTTGTTTATCAAAAGTTAATCTTATTTGCAAAAGAAAAGAAATGCTACAATTATAATTCAATCTAAAATCATAATTTGACTAACATTTAGAAGTACTTTTAAGGGGTAAAAAGCAAAATAAATGAGTACACATATTAAATTTTTAAAAACAGAAAACAAAAGTTGAATTCGCCATAAATGGATTTTAACTTTCAACTACCTCGCATGGAAGGCCACCTGTTCTCAGAAGAATATCAATGGGAACAGTATCAACAACTCTTGTAGGAACAAGACCGTCAGAGTACCTAAATGAAAAAGGTAATAAGGATTGTCACATCAACAGCAGCAGCAAAACATTACAACTACCACTAAAATCTTTATCATTGTTACCAAGTGCACCTGCTTACCAAATATAATCCACAGTTCCAAGAAACTTCTCGTGGTAGGAAGTAGCCAATGGTTCACCACTGGATCCTCGTGTATTTGAAGGACCCTGAATGATGAGATGTTGCTTTGTTTTAAATATCGTCATAATTTCAGTATTTGAAGCAGCAAAACTGATCTAAACAACTAACTAATAACAAATAAAATATTTGATCTATAGGGGGTAGGGGGAGAGATGTAGAAACTAACGACTCTAGCGGTTCAGCCAAAGCTTTATACCTTTAGTGTGGCATATGAGCTGGTAAGCCTAAAGGGATTCCCCACTACTTGGCAGTCAGCACTGCCGGTAGCAGCTTTGATCTCTTCATCACTCCAGGAACTTTTTGTTTGTCTAAACAAGAAGCAATTCAAGTGAGAAAAATGAAATTTATAATAACAGATTTAACTGAAACCAACCAAATAGTAGTCTAGAAACAAAAAATTTTAAGGTCCACAGCAAAGCTATATACGAGAACAGAATTGAAAATATGATGAATATTCTGTACCTTCCCCAGCAGTAAAAAGGTCTCCAAGATTCCTTTTTGACACCCAGTACTTCAGCAGGATGGCAGCCAGATTGCCCAGACAATTCTCTTCGGTCATAGGACATGATACTTAGCTGTGAATGACATGCTAAATCAAACTCTGTATCCAACACTAGTCATATGATTTCTAATATTAATACATTAATCTAGCGCAAGAAAGACTAAATTTCTGTAATCACTGGCAAAAAGATCCACCTCGGATGATGATAAGAACTTGTATATTGCACTCTGTCAACAACAACAATCAGTCAAGGGTTAGACCTTCGTATTACAGGTAAGTATTTGAAAAACTACACCTAAATATAAATATAATTTTGGTATAAAACCTCAGGAGTACTATTGAAATCCCCGGCAAGAACAAAAGGAAGATTACTCCATTTCTGTGAAAGAATCTCTGCCCTCGATAAGAGATAACGAATCTGCAGTTTAGTTTCAAAATATGAAGAATAAGATTGTCTTTCATTTTTAATTTATCTTTGTCATATACAACAATGACATAACAAACAAAAACATCAAGAAAAATTATTTTTCATATCCTTTACTAACACGTGATTCATGAACTTCTCTGTTTTATGCTAAGACATACAAAGTCATTGAGAAAAACAAATTAACTAGGTTCTAATAGCAAATAATTACCAAATCACTGTACTTGAATATTTTTAAGTCTTGAAGGAAGTAAGAAAGGCATAAATAAATTGTGAACGTAAACATTTAGAGTAATATTTCATCGCCTTGCGGAGGTAGCAAATCTGGAAACACCAGACTGAATGATCTTGGCTTGAATACATGCATTTAATATATCTAGTAACATTTGAATAAAGAATAACGATGGAGGACAGTTAATATTTAATATTATTCCTATTTAGCATAGGACTTACTTGACCTAATTTGACATCCCCCCTGCTTGGGTTGTAAAGAACATGGATGTTACCAATCAGTAATTTTCTTGATTTAGCTTTGGACATCTGCCTGCATATAGAAAAGTTATGTTTCGAAAGTTGGTCCAATAAAAATTTAAATCTGAAAATGTCAGGTGAAAATTAGAACAAAACTGAAACTATATGCTACCTCAAGTTTCATAAGTGAGCTTTCTGATCAAGTTTAAATTGGTAAATGCAAAATCAAATGGATTAAATTTTTCTTAATAAATAATATTTCGTAGGGCATGCGGATGCTTGTGGATAACTTTAAAATCATCACACATGACCTCATTACGACAGATCAAACCTACAGCCAGATGATAATGAATTTCTACCTCTAGCACAGAAAGTTGAGCAACATTGTCACGAAGATTGAACCTCTTGAATTTGATGCTTTCTTCATCTATTAGTCGAAACCTTACCAAGTGAATAAAGCATGTTAGTGCATTTATACAAGTCTATAAAGAAATATCCTGAAGATGTTCCATATAACATATATAAGCAAAGCTTTAGCTTCCTACTTGTCAGCTTTCCAGAATATAGCACAACCGTCAATAGCATCTCCAGTGCGTCTCTGCCATTTCAAATTAGAATTCTTTAGCATCATATCCAATAAGCTGCAAAAGTACAAGGATCTATTGATTAAAAACAATAAATAACTAAACAGACCAAATGATGAATCACTCGGTGAATCAACAGTATTGGAGGTCGAAATTACTTGAATTAAGTCAACTTTTCCAGAAGATGAAAAGCATTAACACAATAGTCAAAAGGTCCCCAAATTAAAGTCATAGCAGTAAACTTCAAGGTTAGAAACTAAGAGGAAAAACCACTCAAAAAATTGTATGCTTTTCCCTATTTTAGCTGATTAGATTCAACTATGTTTCAGTCAATATCTGATGTAGAGTCATGTACTATTCGTTACACATAAGTTCATAATATGGAGCAAAATATAATTTTATCATGTGGATATCATATTACTTCCACCAAATCATCCTAGGGGAATGAAATACATCAAATTCTCAACATGAATACCAACCGTGTATGACCCAATGTAACCGGCTTTCTCCATGATTACTGAAACATCAAAATACTTGTCCACTTCCTACAAGTATTTGACAATCAAGAAAAAGTTTAAGGTTTCGTTA